TTTAGCTTCTGTATATAACAATATATGTTTATATATAACTTTACCTCATTTTCAGTGCTGTATTCCATTGTATGAACATAGAAACATTTTTCCATTTTATTGTTGATAAATATTTGGGCAGCATCTAGTTTTTTTGTACCCCAAACTGGGCAATGGTGTGGATCCTTTTGTGTCTTCTGGTGTCAAATTACAGCAAGGGATCAAGCTTTCAGTTTTTTTCTCAATCTGTTATAGATTGATGCTTCTATAAAATAAATGAAAATGTCCCACCAATGTCAGTTTGCTATAAAATTTTCTAAATATTTATTTTTAAATGTTTAAATTAACACATAGTAATTGTACATATTTATGGGGCTCTGTGTGATAACGATACATGTATATACAATGTATAATTGATCAAATGAGGATGATCAACATTGCTCATTCCTTAAACATTTATCTTTATGCTTAGCTTTGAATTGTTCTCTTCTATTTCATGTGTGTGTCTGGGGTTTGAAGTGACTGACAAATGTTACACAAGTGCTTGATCACTGAGCTACATCTGCAGCCCAGTTCTTATAAAATATAAAGCAAACTCTTGTAAACTGTAGTCACCCTACCGTTCTGTTGAACATGAGGAATTACCTCTCTTACATACCTATATTTTGATACCTGTTATCCAACCACCCTCAGCCCTCCTTCCCCTTAGCCTTAGTCTCTAGTGAACACTATTCTTTGTTTGTTTGTTTTTGTTTTTCTTCCGGTACCAGGAATTGAACTCACGACCTTGCACTTGCCAGGCAGGCACTGTGCTGCTGAGCTAAATCCCCAGCCCCTGTGATCACTATTCTTTACTTCTATGAAATTGACTCTTACCTGTCATGTTTGAGTGAGAATATATGATATTTGTCTTTTAGTAGTTGGCTGGTTTCACTTAACCATAATGTCCTTTGGTTTTATCCATGTCACTACAAATGACAGGATTTCATCCTTTTTTGTGGTGCAATCATATTCCATTGTGTACATGTACTACATTTTTCACAAGTATCTCTTCAACAGGCTGATTCCATTTCCTTTGTATAGCCAGAATGTAGTAGTAGTAGTAGTAGTAGTAGTAGTTTGCTTTTTGAGAAGGGTCTCTTCTGTTTCCACCAACAGTATGAGAATTTCCCTTTCCCTTCACCCTTTTCAGCATTTGTTATTCTTTTGTCTTTTTAGTAATAGCCATTTTAAATGGGGTTAGATAATATTTCATTGTGGTTTTTGCATTCCTCTGATCATAAATGATGATGAATATTTTTTCATACACATGTTGGTCATTTGTATTTTGGGAGGTAAATGTCTATTGAGATCATTTGCCCTTTGAAACTCAGATTATTTTTTTCTGACTGTAGTTTGAGTTCTTTGTGTATTCTGAATATTAATCTTCTGTCAGATGCATAGCTGGCAAGTATTTCCTCTCATTCTGCAGATTGTCTCTTTGGTATAGTTACCTTTGCTATGTAAGCTTTCAGATTTGATATAATTCCATTTGTCTATACATGCTTTTGTTGCTTGTGCTTTTGGGATTTTTTAAATCATTGCTTATACCAGTGATATCCTTGTTTTCTTTTAGTGGTTTCATTATTTCAGGTTTCATTATTTCATTATTTAAGTCTTTGCTCCATTTTGAGTTGATTTTTGTACATTGTGAAAAATAATGGGTCTAGTTTCATTCTTTTGCATATGGACATTCAGCTTTCCCAGCACCATTTATTAAAGACTCTGCCTTTTCTCCAGTATATGTTTTTGGTTTTAGATGCTTCGAGTTATGTCTGAGTTAATTCATCATTTTGTCCCATTGGTATATGTCTTGGTTTTCATACCAGTTATTTAATATAGTTTCACAATCAGGTATTTTGATGCTTCCAGCTTTTTGTTGTTTTGTTTTTAAAATCTTTAGCCTTGGGGGTCTTTTGTGATTCCATAGAAATTTTAACACTGTTGTTTTCTGTTTGCTGTGAAGAATATCATTAGTATTTTGATGGAGATTTCATTGGATTTGTAGGTTTCTTTGGGCAGTGTAATTCTTCCAATCTGTGAACATGGGACATGTTTCCATTTTTGTATTTTCTTAAATGTTTTATAATTTTTATTATAGACATCATTTACTTTCTTGGTTAAATTTATTCCTAGATACTTTTTTGGAACAGTTTCCTTTTCTCTGGGTTCTGTTATTGCAGACTTTTATGTTCCTGTGGAGGCATTATATTAATTGCTTTTCAGGGCTTCTTCTGACTTAATGTTGCAGTTTGCCTATATAACAGGTCAGTTTCTTCTGCAGTTTTACCTAGTAAAAGATTTTCTCATGTATGTATATCCTAGGGTGTTGGTTGGATAGACTGTGTTGGCTTTGCTTCCAGGATGGATGCAGTAGTGTCTGTATAGCTTATTCAGCTATAATTAATCTTGGTCATGGCTGTGTGTGTCTCAGTCATGTAAGCTTGCAGGGGTTTGTAGTATTCACCAGCTGTGATGCAGCTCTCTTAGGCTAGGTGGCTTTGCCACTGGCTCTGGATATAGTACACATGGCTGTAGATAAGTGGTGCTTGTCATTTTCCACAGGTTATACAGCAGTAGGGCCACTCTAATCAGCCTAGGCAGGCACATCATAGCATGTATGGTAGGGATGCTGGAGTTCTTGTCAGTGCCTGGAGTTTCTCGGGGGCTTGGCTGCACCAGTGGGTCTATCTACGCGGAGTGCTTATCAGTCCACGGGTAGTGTGGGTCCTCTCAAGGGATCTTGGAGTTATAGTTGCACATGGAGGGCTGCTTGGCTGTCTCCTGAGGCCAAAGGTGAGTGAGCGGTGCTGCCCATCTATTTCTCCAGGCCTTGGCATGTGAAACCACTGAGGTCAGGCTACCTGGCTACTTCCTGGGGCTGCTTCCTGGCTACTTTCTGTTGCTTCTTAGGTGCTGCTTCTTGGAGTTAGCAAAAACAACTGTTTATGCTAATGAACTGGCGAAATGAGGTATAAGCATTTGTTTAGTGGTATCCTTGTGGAAGAAATATAGAAATATGGATCATAATAGTGCAAGTTGGCAGATTTGTAGTTTAGAATGCACAGTAGTGAATTCATGCCAGTTTCACAGGTAACTTTTAGTCCTTGTATAACTCTGTCTGGGCTTTCATTATTCACCATGAGAAAATATCAGATTTACAAACGTTGTGATGATGGGAGGAATGATGAATAAGCTAGCTGATATTCTCAATCTTTAAAGAAACTTTGACAGTCTAAAATAAGAGGAAATAAAATACTGCACTTGAATCTAAAAATGAGTTGTATAAGTGTGGCTGGAGTAAATGGATCATAATAACTCCAAGTATAAAAGGCTCTTAGGAATTTTAGGTTATTGATTTTTTTTTTTAAGACAAGGTTTTCCTATGCAGTTCAGGCTGGCCTCGAATTTGCAGCAATCCTCCTGCCTCAGCCTCCTGAGTCCTAGGATTACAGGTGTGTGCTACCACACCTTGCTAGATTATTAATCTTAATGTAGTTTTTAGGAAGGTATTAACTTCTTAAACTGCATTAATTAGTAGTTACAGAATCTAGATTGTATCCTACTATACCTAAAATAATTATATCAGGACCACACTTAGGGGTATATAAAATATTGAATAAATTTAATGAGTCTACTAAAATATATGATATACTTTGTATATAATGACACTGTAACATTGTGTGGGCACTGATCCATGAATTTTCTAAGTAGGTGTAGTATTGTCTGGATTTTGGGAGGAAAATAGATTTATTTTCATTGGCAAGAAAGAGATTATTTTCTGTAAAGATGTCGACCAGAAGCTGATGATAATAAATGGCAAGTTTTTGAATGATGAATGGTGGGTGTAAAATAGGACTCAGCAAATTAGAGCCCATTGCCAAGATCTTGCTGGCAGTTTGTTTTTATATGTTCTTCATACTAAGAATGGTTTTTTTTACATGATTAAAAGAGTTACAAGAGAAAAATAAAACACAATATGCCATAAAGACCTTCAGTGGCTTGTAAAGCCTAAAATACTTTGTCCCTTTATAGGAACAGTTTTGCCAGCTCCTGATAAAACACCAGACAAATGACAATATAGATAACACTTTTTAAAGATTTTTGCAACCAAAAGACTCAATACTAAGGACAAGAAACACCTCAGATAATACAGTATATAGAAGTTATATGATTATATTAGAAATTAAGTCAGCTTATATTCAAGGCTAGGACTGAAAGTTAGAAAATAGCAATTAAAACAGATTATTTAAGCAAAAAGGAAAGGACCTATTCTTAAGTGCATAAACTTGAATTTTTTGATTAACAATAAATGGCAATTGCAGCTTATTAAAGTTAATTTTATCTCCTTGAACATAGTGACTATATTGGATAGGGAAGCAGCCTGAGCGCCTCCGAGAAGGCAGGATGGAACTAGTCTGGGGCTAAGATATCGTTGATAGTCTAGAAAGGAGATAACCAGGCATACAATCACTAGTTATCTGTGTATTAAATGGTATATATGTTGCTTTTTATAAATCCATTCCTTTATTACATAATCTAGTCCCAAGGACCAGAGCTTTTAAGGTACCTTTCACAGAATTGTCTTGTTGGTAAGGAAATAACTCCACCCATTTACACTTATTTTAAGATAATGAATAATGAGCCTTTAGAACGGGGGGGGGGGAGGAGTTGATGGTATTTAATTTTGCTTGTATTTTTAGTGATGTGATTTTGGATTTTACTTTTTATGGTAATAAATATTTAAAAGTTAATACAGCTTTTTGTGCCTTTATTTTTTATTTTGATTTCTCAATTATAATGTGGTAAAGTAATGAAATATTCTGTCTAAAGATTATTTTTATTCTTACCTTCCTGGTACCCTCAAAAGTAAAGCTATTTTGGGTATCTATAATAAAAAAACTGCAGTTTGTCTGTTCATCATTCATTTATCCATTCAGTCATTCATTTCTGATTTTAACCAAATGGATTTTTTTTTCCAGATGATTCTTTGGGATTGGGACTTAAAGCAGTGGTATAAGCCTCATTACCAGGTAAATAAAGTAACAGTAATAACTAATATCTATAGTGAAAATTTGACCTTAAATTTACATTTACAAGATTTCTATGTCATAAAATTTTCTTTAACTGAACTAAGTTAACTAGAACCTTCATTGAGGTAGATTTAAAAAAAAAACAAACAACAGTTTAAATGTAAAGGAAAAATAAAATAAGAAACCAACTTACACAGTACTCATTTAAAAATGTTAATATACTCCGGGCTCAGATAAACTAGGATTTTTATGTTAAAGATGAGAATATTTTTCTTTTCTGATCTGGAACACAGGTCTACAGAAGGAGATAAACATATGTAAGGCCACCTTTGAGACAGCAGGGCAACTGGCAGATTATTTTTATTAGGGAAGCGAGAACACTCTCATTTTCTGTTATAACATACAGAAACATACATACCATATAGTTGAGTGAATTTTCACTTGCTAAACATCTCATATACCTAGTATCTCTATGAAGAAATTGAACAAATTACCAGTGTCCCAGAGGCCTCACTAAGCCCCATTCCAGGCATTACCTGTACCTCCAAAGATAATTCCTCTCCTGACGTCTAGTGATTAGTTTTGCTTATTTTTGAAATTTATAAGTGAAATAACATAATATATACTTTTAAGATTAATTTTTAATCCTTTAAGATATGTTCATATCAGATGAATTGAAAATAGAAATATAAAGAAAAAATTACTTGAAAATATTAACCTATTTAACTATGTTCATTGCTAATTTTGATGTACATATTTATAGAACTACCTACTACAAATGTATGTTCTATTCTAAAAAATTGTTATATTTCATGTTATTTTGAACCTGATATTTTTCACAATGATAAATATTGATAAATATTAAACTATTTGTTACAGAAATGTTATACATGTTTATTAGATTGATTTTAATAGTTGTCCCAACACCAGTTTTTGAAAAATGAACATCCTTTTGAATGGCTGATTTTTACTTTTGAACAGTGAATGCAATAGTCACAATGTTCCATAGGGATATTCTCTAGACTTTGATGAACAAAAGAATGCAACCACTGCAGTCAGATGAAATCAAGGAGCTGGCTACATGTGACCTAAAAGGGTTGGGGTGGTTTCTCGACCTGCTACATAGTAGGCTTCATCATTCTTCATATACACAAAGACCCTCAGTTTCCAATCAGAAAGTATCCAAATTACTGATAAAATTTAAAGGTAAATAAGCAGTAATGGCCAAGACCATGCACTTGTCAGGCAGATGGGTATTTGATATTAAGCACATCAGTCCTCTATTTTTATTTATTTATGGCTGTTTTTTCTCTTTTCCTTTCTAATGACCTGTGAAGTATAACATTCATCTGTAAAAATTCAGAATTTATAAATGTACAGCTTGATGAATTTTCTCAAACTGAATACACACATGTAGCCATCATTTGGATAAGAAATTGAATACCCAGAAAACCCTCATGTACTTTCCTTTGTCCCTAACTTTCCTCAAGCATTATATCAATACTAATTTCTACCATGACTTACTTTTTAAAGTTTTATATAAATGGAAACAAACGTTTGTATTTTTATTCCTTTTTAAAATTTATCTGTGAGATTAATATTATTACATGTAGCAGTAATTTATTCATATTAATTCTATTTAGTATTCCATTGAATAAATATATCACAATTCATCCATTGTACAAATAGTCATTGTTTTATTTTCACATCTGAGGTTACTGCAAGTAATACTGTTGGAATGATATCTTTTGTTGTATTTTCTTGGAATGGATTATTAGCCTATGCCTATGAATGTTCACTTTTAATAGTGCCAGATAATTCTCTAAAGAGTTTGTACTAAGTTTTATTCAACCATGAATAGTATGAAAATTCCATTTATTCCACATCTTCACTAACGCTTGGTGTAGTATCTCTTTTTATATAATTTTGGTAGCTGTGTGACTGTCATGTTTGTAACTTACATACTTGCGCTTAACTGATGATTCCTCTGGTTGAAATGAAGGCCTTTTCATAAGTTAATTGTCTACCCAAATATCTTCTAGACAATTTTGTCTAATTATCTTTTACTTAATAGTCAGTAGGAATCCTTTTTATATTCTAGAAATGAAAATACATATCTACATTCATATACATATATGTGTGTATCTAGTACATTTTGAAAAAAGTCCCAGCATATGGTTTATTATGGTACACTCTGATGAAAATATATATTATACACTTTAATATATAATAAATATATTTGATTTGTCATATATTTATAATGTATATTTTCATATATAAATATATAGTAAATATTTTAATATAGTGCCAGTTTATCAGTCATTTAAATTTTGTTTAGCAATTTTTTGCATTTTTGAAATGAAAACTGGGTTCCCTTAAGTTGCCCAGGCTGGTCCCTAATACCTGAGCTCAAACAATCCTCCTTCCCCAGCATCCCAAGTAATGCGAACTGTAGGTGCATGTCACTGCATCTGGCTCTTTTCTCTTACTTAAGAAGTACAGCTGGCCAATAAGTATATAAAAAATGTTCAATATCTTTAGCCGTTAGGAAAATGAAAATCAAAACTACATTGTATCGGTTCCTCAAAATCTAAAAATGTAGATACAATTTGATCCAGCTGTCCTTTTCCTTGGTATATTAAAGACATCACACTATAGTGATATTTGGGTGCCATGTTTATTGTGGCACAGTTCAAAGAGCTAAGTTATGGAAAGTCTTGGTGCTTGGCAATGAGTGGATAAAGAAAATATGGAATGTAATATTATGTACCCATATTGTGAAATTATGATATTTGCAAGAAAATGGATGGAATTAGAGACCATTATGTTAATCGCAGTAAGCCAGACTCAGAAGTCAGGTAACTACCTATTTTCTCTAATAGGTGGAATCTATTTAAAAATTTACTTAGGGGGGGAAAAGGAGAGATGATAGGTAAGTACAAGAAAGACTACAGAAATGAAATAGGCTGAGGGAAAAAGTAGACAAGCCTCTTAAATCACTCTGAATCTATTTCTTCACCTACGTTGAGAATAATACCAGTTCCCTCAGAGGGCTGATAAAAACATACTGAATAAAAATGTGTGCTAATATTGTATTGATTTCAATCATAGTACATACTAATACCTTTGAAATGTAGTATAAGACAAATCAACATTTTTCCTATAAATAAAGGATCAGAAAGTATGTATTTTAGCATTTGCATGTGAAGTATGGCCACTGCCACCACTGAAGCTTCTCTTCTTCCTTTCTCTTTTGTCCCCCCAACTCCCCATTGCCTCTTCTTTAGTAACCATTTGAAATGTAAAAACTGTTCTTAGCTATCTGTACAAAATCAGGATTTTGCCAAATATAAGCCAATGAGAAACAGGCATTTAAGTTCAACATTTTCAATTATAGTAAATAATCTGTATGTTTAATTTGATCTGGTACAAGCTGTATCATGTCTTTCTCACTACTCTCCTATCTCCCCTAGAATAAAAACTGAAGTCCTCATCATGGATGTAAAAGAACTGACACAGTCTGATTCCCTTCTCATTCCTGTCTGACTTGTCGTCTACTTTCTCCTTCATTTACTCTGTTGCAGATGTGCCGGCCTCAATGTTATTCCTCAAACAAGTCAATCTTTTGCGTCTAGATCTTCGCACTTGCTAAGTTTCTTTGGCTAGAATGCTTGTTTTCCACACCTGTCAGGTCTTGATATAAATGTTGCCTTCTAAGTGAGACATTCCCCCATTATCCTGTCCAAAATTTCATTATCTTTCATTACTTTTTCTTCTTTTTCCTTGCTTTATTTTTTCTTTTAATTCTGTTTTCAGCCTTCGTTAACAAATAACTCAGCTTGGAATCCAGTGTTCTCAAACATTTGGTGCCTTTTCAACCTTATTTTTCATTGCTGTCTTTTACACAGCCTGTACTTCAACAATTTCATATTTCCTGTACATCTCTATTTTATCATTTTGTACATTTATTTGCTCTTTTCCTCTTGTGGAATGAATTTCCCTGGTCATTTTTCTTTAGCTTTATTTAAAAAATTTTTTTTCCTAATATTTGTAAATGTAATCCTGCCACATTTTTAGGGCCCAATTCAAACACCACCGCTTCCAAAAGTTTTTCCTAATCATTTATATCAAACCTGTCTCTCTCTCTTTTGAACTGTAATACCATTTTTCTGTATTTTTATCTTACATTTCCATAATACTGATAGTAATGATACTATTTATTGCTTTAAATAATAAATAATACTAGTTATTTAATACTGTTAAATACACTACCTTGTATACTTTACAGGTTTTATCAGATGTAATTTTCATATCAACCCTTAAAAAAGAGATTCTTATCTCCATTTTACAATGAAGAAACTAAAATGTTCAGGTACAAGTTGTGCAGACCACAGAGTTAGGGATAACATTTAAATTTCAAACTCAAGAAGCTTTGTGATAAACCCTTGCACTAAGGTAGTGCCTCATAAGTAAGATAAATGAAAGAAGTGATGTATGTATTTAAAAGAAATTTTGACATAATGGAAAGAAAATCATCCATAAATTAATTAAATATCCACATTATAAACCTTAAATATGATTATAGCTCCATACTAATTATAAAGTCAGTAAGTTAGTTATGCATTCTATTAGCTATGAACTAAACTAATAAAAATAAAGAAGCTTATAGTATCTACAGTATTACAGTATATATTAAAATTGTTCAGCTTGGTGTCATTTATGCTTATCCAAATGAATGGAAATTTATATTAGTAAAATTAAATTACTTATGTATTATAACATAAACTTTTATTTAAAGAAGAGCTTAATGCTAATTTTTTTGTGTAACAAATACATAATCTTACTGTTTTTACTTTTCTAGAGTTCTGGAGGTGGAAATGGAGTTGATCTTTCAGTGCTAAATGAAGCTCGCAATATGGTGTCAGATCTTCTGGTGGACCCAAGCCTTCCCCCACAAGTCATTTCTTCCCTACAGAGTATCAGCAGCTTGATGGGTGCTTTCTCTGGGTCCTGTAGACCAAAGATTAATCCTCTCACCCCATTTCCTGGATTTTATCCCTGCTCTGAAATAGAAGATCCAGCTGAGAGAGCAGATCGAAAACTCCACAAGGTTAAAATACAGCAATCATCTAGCCTTATTGATCATATTTTATGATATTTTCAAATTAAAACTGCTTCTTTAAATACTATTTAGCATACAATTTCCTTTTCAAGGATCAACATCTTTTATGTTATATTTAGCTGCTTGGGACTTTGTAGGCAGTTAAACTCAGTTCTGGATGAGTATTCAGTTTTTATTTTAAATAAGACTATGGTGATTAGCAGTTATAACTTGAATGTAACTATTATTATTAAATGCAGAACAAGCAAATTAATTCTAGACTTGTACAAAATGTCATCTATTTTAAAAAATCTAGAATTTTTTTTACTGAACAAATTATTATGATACTATTCATAGTATGAATTATTTAACATTATTTAAAAATGATCCATATTTTTTGAACCCTGTACCCCCTACCCTTTTTTACTTTGGGGAGATTGTTATGGATCAGTAGGGACTGATTTTTCCACCATTAGATGTCGTATTAATTTCTCTTTATTACTATACAGCTTTGTTTAGGTTTTTAATTGTTTAAGTTTTTTAATTACTATTGATAGCATCTCCAGTTGCTAAAATCATAAAGTATTAAAACTAGAAACATTTAGGGATTATTCTAGTTCAACTAATTTATTCTACAACTAAGGAAACTATAATCAAGAGATGATGAAATTCAATTCAGTTGATTCTGTTAATTGTAATAATGTATATAGAATTTAGAAAAAGGTTAATAGAGATTTTGGAGAATTTTGATCAGTTTTAGTCTGTCAGATCTTAGTATGAGAGTTTAGAAATGTTGAAAAATTAACAAATCCCAATTAGGGCCAAAGGATTTAAAAATTATTGATGACAATCTGGATTTTAGGTCATTATGTGATGGTTTTATTTTGAAATAGCATATATAATACTGCCTGCATTAGTCTGAACTGACTTGATAAAGTGGCACTTAGGAAATATTTTTTAGTGCTCTACCAGAAAAAAGTTAATCACATACATCCAGAATTCATGGAATAGCAATAAATCAATAAAGTAACTAATATATTCTTGAGTTTGCTTTCACCTAATATGTTGCTGGTCCTTTGCATTTTTCCATTCACATTTGTTACTTATGATAGTAGTTTAAAATAGTAATTCTTAAAACTCTTAAAAATCATATTGATAGCACTACTATGGTTGTTACTTCATTTACTCTGTAGAAAAGGGTACTGGTACATTTTAGAAATATTTTAAATGTAATTGTGATTCAATAGGATGTCTGAACACCTCATTTCCTGAGCATTGTACTTAATCAGGCTTTCTCTGGGTGCTGAGATTGAGTAAGTCATATAAGAACCAGGAAATAACTCTTATTCTTTCTCTTTATTTTTTAAACTCATTAGAATTCCATATATAAATGTCTCTACTTTTGGAAAAGCATATAAAAGGCCTTATGTTACTTTAAAAATGAACCATATCATTTATGAAAAATACTAGCAAAAGGGAGTAAGAATAGACAATTTAAATATCTTATATGTGTGTTAAGAACAAAGAGAGAATATGAACCTAAATTTTAGTCAACAACAATTTTTTCGCTGTAGGGTCAACTAACCATGGATGGTTAGTTTAATATCCTTGGGACATCTAAAATATAATACACTTTTCTCTGAGATTGTTGCAATTTCTGCTGATAGGATAAATTCATAAGAAACAGAAACTGTACTATATAAATTTAAGCAAAACACCTATTCACATTGGTCAAAATGGAATACTCCTTTTATTTGAATTTTGGATTAATTTAGAATATTTTTAAAATTAGGATAAAATATTAATGCTTAACATGTTCTAAAGTTAATTTAATCATTAATTCAGAGTGTAACTCAGAATCCTGTATTTTCTCCAGGATAAGCACTGGGTCCATTAGATAGCATTGTACTAAAAATGTTAGAAAATATTAGGATATAAGGCTGGCCATTCCTGACTACATGTGCTAGGCAAGTACTGTACCACTGATCTACAATTCCTAGCTCCTTAAATTCTTGCTTTTATTTATTTGTTAACATATTATAATAACACCTTAGCCTAGGCTACTATAAAAAAGATACAAGGGCTGATTAAAATTATGGCTTATCCTCTGAAGTTGATTTTCAGGGTCACTTTGTGCAATCCACTTTTTATATTTCAATTGTTTCTTGCTCTTGAAACTAGGAGTAAAATGTGCAAAAAAACCCAAACAAACAGAAAAACCTAGTTTAAACTGTAAGGAGTTCAAAATTCATTATTTACTAGATGAAGGTAAGTAGAGCAATAGTATAGGCTGGGCGTTTAGCTCAGTGGCACAAGCACCTGGTTGGCAAGTGCAAGGTCCTGAGTTCGATTCCCAGTATATTAAAAAAAAGTGTAACAATAGTGTAGAAAATAAAATTGGGAGTAAATGAACACATTTTCAAAATGAAATTTTCAGTTTCTCTTATACATGTTAAAATACACTTTGTATTGATTTTTTTTATGTGTCAGCATTATATTACATGTACATTATATTAGAGTTTTAACCACTGTTAAATTATTCAACAGGGACTAAGTAGTATGAATAGTTTACCAACTGCACAGTTAAGAAGGAGCTCAGGTACTTCAGGACTGTCACCTACTGAACAGTCTTCAAGATGGGAACGCAGTAGTAGCAGAAGGCCTCATCAAGAATTCAGCACTTCAAGGTAAAATCCCCAAAGCCTTTTAAGGAAACTTAAATCATCTGCCATTTTTTTCTCTTGTGGATAAAGTTTGAAATAGTTTTGAGAGCAGAAAGGAATGGTTGAAGTGTTTTAGGTATATTTCAGCATCAATAGTAATAATAGGTATAATCATGAAACTGACCTTTCAAAAGAAATTAACACACTCTCCCTCAAAATTTAGGTAGATTGGGTAGAAAACATGCTGGAGCCTTAGGAGCATGAATTAGTGAGACAGTTTAAGGAAATTAGGATCAATTTAGGACAGAATACCGGGACAGCTTTTAAACTGATGGAGGTGGTGATTACTGGGACAGTCACCAGTCAGGTATAGAATATGCTAAGGTAGGTCAGCAGAGGGTTACTTCTGAAAGAAAGAGCACATTCCCAGGACTCATCAGAGTCATTAGGGTTGAAGTAGCAACACTCTTGCAACCCTGCTCTTAATAGAGGTCAAGACTACTAATATCTTCTATAATCTGTTGAAAATTTGCTTGGAACAAAACAGTGCTAATCTTACAAATTAAAGCCATCAGAAACTGTAACTCATTGAGACTGGGGAAATGTAGGAGCTAAAATTTTCTGAATGTAAATACCATTTTCTCTGATAACAAAGGATTTAATACCTATCTTTTAAAAGCCAGGAATAATATTCATCTCATGCATGGGCTCATACTTCTTTTTAATCAGTTATCTGTGTTAATAAAATTGGCATTAATGTAAATTCCAATGGATAACTAATCCACTCTGTTATTATTGGTTGGGTGCTATACTTTGTTTAGTTTGAGCTGTATAGTTTCACAGTTGAAACAGATAGCAGGATTGGAACATTGCTATTTATTTGTTCAAATTTATATGGTCTTATATGTGAAATATAATCAGATACTTATAATTTTTCTGTTTACTTTCCTTTTTAGTCAAGGATGCTATCTAAATGGGCCTTATAGTTCAATTCTACAGACAGTCCCAAAGCAAAGGTCATCTTCTATGTCACTGACTCACCATGTAGGTCTGAGGAGAGCTGGTAAGAAAACATTATTTGAAATTTTTTTTTTTTTTTTTAAGAGACAGGATCTCTCTACTTTGTCTAGGTTGGATCATCCTGCCTCAGCATATGCATGTGCCACTGCATCTAGCTTAGAAATCATTCTTTATAATTTAAATATGGTATTCTCAAAATACATGGCAGTATAAATTCATTTCACATTTATATCTAATTTTAAATACCATTCCATATATTCTAAGTTAAAATGAGTAGGTACTGTGAGTTGGCTACAAATACACCCAGTAAATACATTGTGAATATCTACTATATACCAGGTACTTCGTTAGGCACAAGGAATTCAGAGGTAAAATATAAAACTATTTTATTAACTAGTTACAGATTGAGAACAAAGGAAAAATCTCAAGGAAAATGGTTCTTTTATAATATGGTGTTTGTAGAGAAAAAAATCTTAGAGTAGAAAACAAATCCTGCCTATATTCTGGCACGCCATTCTGGTAGGGTTAAAGATTATAGAACATGTAACTTTTTGGATGGAAGGATATTTCACAAATACAGCATTTAATAGAGAATATAGATATTTTCATGCTAGATATAACAATATATACAATCACAAAATTCTCATACACAATGAAATATAAAATGCAAAGAGGCAGAAAAATTCTATTGATAATCAAGAAAAATAAACCCTAGAAGGAGATATATCTGCATATTTATGTTGGACTCAACAGCTCTTATAAAATAACAATGATCCTTTAAACATAGAAGGGAAAAATGGGCAAGATGGGTGGATAATTTGAACAGAACTAGAAAACATAGAAAAGAAATGATGGACAGTTTAGAACTGAGAAATACATTTGATTAAATTAAAAAGTTGTTGAATGGTTTTTGGACAAGCAGAAAACAAAAATAGTGAACCTGAAGAGACAGAAAGGAAATAGCCAAATGGAAGCAGAGAGAGGGAAATAATGCATAATTAACAGAATAAATGTAAGACACGTATGGAACACAAAGTTTTAATATATGTGAATGGAACTGCAAAAGAAAAGGAGACAAAATAACACAGAATAACTTTCAAAAACTATGCGAAAATAAAACAGCCAAAAGATGCATAAAAGCTCAGTGTACCCCAAATAAGCTGAATATTGAAAAAATTATCTAGGTATATCGGTGAAACCTATGAATTACAAAGATAAAGAGAAAATTGTCAAAAGCAACCAGAAAAGTTTACTTTCCAAGGAACAATTATATAATGACATCAATAGCAACTATAGAAGCCAAAGACTATACATTGGCATATTTAAAATGTTGAAAGAAAAAAAATTGCCAGCGTAGAATTCTTTTTTTTTGTTTTTGTTTTTTTTTTTTTTTTTGTTTGGTTTTTCTCCGGTACCAGGAACCGAACTCACGACCTTGCGCTTGCCAGGCAGGCGCTTTTGCCGCTGAGCTAAATCCCCAGCCCCGCCAGTGTAGAATTCTTTAATGACATGTGTCATTGACATATATTGTACTAGTAGTGACAATGAAAAATAGTAAAAAGTTCTAATTTAGAAGAGACTAATGGGGACTGGGAATTTAGCTCAGCAGCATAGCGCCTGCCTGGCAAGCGCAAGGTCGTGAGTTCGATTCCCGGTACCGGGAAAAAAAAAGAAGAGACTAATGCTTCAAAGATACATAGTATAATGTACAGGATTACAAGTAAAAGGATCATAGAAAAAAAAGTAGAATGAAAAGGCTAATATAGGAGGCAGACTGGCATGATAAAAATATTTAGTAATCCAAAAGAATCCAAGTAAAATAAAAATTGAAGGGATGACTAAAAAATAAATGGCAGGATAGTAGATTAAAGATGACCTATTAAAGAAAACATCTGATGTTCATGGGTCAGAAAAATTACTGTTATTAAGATAGCATCATTCCCCATCCAACACAATCTTCACCAAAATTTGGGCTGACTTCTTTGTAGAAACTGACAGTCTTATCCTAAAATTCAAATGGAAATGCAAGGGTCCTAGAATAGCCAAAACAATTCTTTAATTAAAAAAAACAAGAAATAGAAAGGCTCACACTTCCAAATTTTAGAAAACTTCATTTACCATGCTGTAACAATCAAGAAAATATGGTACTGGCTTAAATATATTCCAATTTAGTGGAATAGAATTGTTAAGGTAATTCAGTGGGGGAATAAATAATGTTTTCAACAAATGGTGCTGGGAAAAGTTAATATACAGGTGCAAAGAATTCATTTGGAATCCTCCCTTTTACCATATTAAAAAGTTATCTCAAAAATGCATTACAAATTCAAGTATAGCAGTTAAAACCATAAAGATAAGTGTTGGTCAGGGTTTGGAGCAAAGGAACTTTGTTCTTTGTTGGGAATGTCGATTGGTTCTTTGTTGGGAATGTCCATTGTGGAAAACAGTGTGGAGGTTTCTCAAAAAGGTTAGAATTATCATATGGATGAGTCCCTCTTCTGGATATATCCAAAGGAAATGAAATCAGCACCCTGCAGAGACATATGTGTTATCATGTCCGCTGGAGCATTATTCATAATAGCCAAGATACAGAAATAGCCTTACTATCCATCATGTTCTAGACCTTAAATATATATATACAGTAATATAGATTATGAGGAAGGTTTCCATTTTACCTCTTCTCCTAGAAAAATGAACTAGAAGCCAAATAAAGTATGGTAAAATTGATCCTATGTGAGGAAAATTTAAATTACAAGACTTGTAGCAGAAAAAATGGGAGAAAATACTTAGTTTGATTTTTTTGTATATTATTCTTTAAAAAATCATATCAAAAGCATAGTCTATGATTGAAAAATATAGTATTGGTAAATTAAAGTTCATCAAAATTAGAAACATTTGCATTTCAACAGACATTATTATGTAAGTGGAAAGACAGTTCACAGGATGGGGGAAGATACATGGGAGAAGATACTGGCAAATCATATATTTGAAACAGACACATGTCTAGAATGTATAAAGAAATCTCAATAATAAAAATCAAATGAGCCAGTCAAATAATGGGCAAAAGTTCTCAGTTGATGTTTCTTTAAAAAAGATATACAAATCAGCCATAACAAAAATGTTCAGCATCATTCATTATTAGGTAAATATAAATCAAAACCACAATGAACTACTACTTCATATCCTCTAGGACAGTAGTGGCAGACCTATGGTATACATGCCACAGTGGGTTGTTTGTATCATTGAATGCTCTAGAACGTTCGCCATCACTGTTCCTAGGATGTCACTTAATATAAAGACAGACAGTAAATTCTGGTAAAAATATTTCAGAATTTGCAACAATCATCTATTCTTGGTGGGAAAGTAAAATGCTGCCTAGGAAGACATATTTTGGTAGTTTGTTAAAACATTAAACTTAGAATTCCCATATAACCCAGCATTTTCTCTTCTCAAATGAAGTGAAAATGTTGTCCCCACAAAACTTGCACATAAATAATGAGATTAGCATTATTACTAATGACCCCAGAGTGGAAACAACCGTAATGGCTATCAACTAATGAATGACTAAACAAAATATTATTTATCCATACAATAGAATATTACTTGCCACAGAAGTAGAATAAAGTAATAATATGTGCTACAATGTGAGTGAATCTTGAAAAACTATGTGAAATAGGCAGTCATAAAAGACTAAAAAGATGTATAAATCTATTTATATGGAATATCCAGAATAGACATATTTATAGAAAGCATATTATTGGTTGCTATGGTTTGAATGTGCATTTCCAAAATTCACATGATGAAACCTAATCCCTACTGCCATCTATACCAAGAAGGAGGCCATCATTAGATATTAAATCTGCTGCTATAGTGATATCTTGTTACTCATTGTTAACTGGCTCTGGGACTACTAAAAACAATGGGTACCAAACAAATTGTTTTGGATGGAAAGGGTAGTGAGTCATGAGGCCATCAACACCCAGTGTTTGGTGAGCCTTGGACACCAGACAAGTACAGGGATAAAATTTTCACATCAAAATGTGTTGAGTACCAAATGTGACAAGTTTCAAAGCAGTGGAGTTTAAAGGTATGACTGTATCTTAATCTTGGACTTTCTAGCCTCCAGAATTGTGAGGAATAAGTTTCTGATTATAAGCTACCAGTTTATATATTCTGTTGTAGCAACACAAATCAACTAAGACACTGCTCTGTCCAAGTACTATAAACTTGTAAATTAAAACAACACAAACTTATTATCCTATAGTTCTGCAGGTCTGAAGTCTGCAATTGTTTCCAGTGCACTAAAAGCAAGGTATTAGCAGGGCTGTGTTCCTGACAGAAGATTTTTGGGCATTTTCTTTGCATTCCCCAGCATGTAGAGGCCTTCCTGTGGTTTCCCTGCATTCTTTGATGCATGACCCTATAGTTCTATTTTTAGTGCTGTGTTAGATTTCTCATTGCTGGCCAAATACTAAACACTCACAATTTAAAGAAGGAAACATTTAATTTGGTTCACATTTTAAGGAGATTTAATCTATGGTCTGATGGCTCCAAGGCAGAAACATTGTAGAAGCATGTGGTAGAGCAAAGCTCCTTAGTTCATGATAGCCAGGAAACAGAGCAGGAGAGCAGTGCCAGGGAGGAAGGGATAAGGGACTAGATGTAGACTCAGAGGCCACGCCTCCCTGCCCCTCCCAGACACATCCAGAAGTGCACCACCTAGCCCCCAGGTATATCCCACAGCCAATCAGGTTGGCACTCCACCCTATCATATACCATGCCTTGTCAACTTGCTACCCAAACATACCTCTTAAAAACACACTTAATCTCTAAATGAATACAAATAGCAAATTCATAATTCTAACATAACTCAATTACCCTATATACAACTGGAAATATAACAATCACTTCTCAACAGTTCCAGCATTTTTCAAAATTTCAAGTCAATGTCTCCTCTGAAACTCAAGGCAAACTCTTAGCTGTAAACAGCTGAAAAATAAAAAACAACAACAACAACAAGTTATATAATCCCAAGGTATAGGGGCACAGAGTAAGTATTTCTGTTCAAAAAGGGGAATTGAAAAGAATTGGACCAAAACAACACAAAACCAGCAGGCAAATATTAGCTCTGTGTACCTCCATATCCAGCATCTGAGGCACACATCCTGAGAGGGCTTAGGTGGCTCCATTTATGTGGCCTTTCTGGTTGCAGCTCTTGGGGCCTCTTTTTTGGGGTGACTCCATTCCCAGGCTATAGCTTTCCTTGGCAGATGTTCTGCATTCCTGGCATCTCCGATTTCCTGGTGTCTACTTTGGGTTCATTTCTACACCTTCAGATGCTTCCTTCTTAGGTACTCCTTACCTGGCTTACCAAGCTTTCCTTTAAACTCTGGGTGGAAGCCTTCCTGACCCCACAACACTTACATTCTACATGCTGGTAGACCCAGCATCTCATGGATATTGTCAAGGTCTGCTTTCAGCTTGAGCAGTAACCAGGCCTTGGTAGTCTCTTGAATGTCTGGGTGGCTGAGCACACGTCTGAATGGCTGAGCACAGTGAAATGAATCCTGGGAAAACCAGTTCTCTAGCAGGCTTTTCTGGTACAGAGATCCTAGGGAAAGGTTTATACTTTTGCACCTTTGCCAGTGATATGTGGGGTCTTATTAATTTCTGAAGTGCCCTCAAAGGATCTTCTTATGCCTTTACAAAGTAGTTGATTTCTTTTTAATGGCACTAATCTCTTCAGCAACCACACATACTTTGGCCCCAACTTTATAAATGGTCCCTTCTGGGCCAAAATTTGTTTTTCAACTTTTTCTGCTCTGACCTTTGCCCCCAATCCTCACTAAAAGTATATTTGAAAGTAACCATCAGTACTCATATCACAGCCTGAATATTGAGTTCTTTTAAAATTTCCTCTGCAAGGTTAATTAATATACTTTCCTTAACCTCAGTCTCCTTGAGAGTTTTAGGAGATGGGCAAATTGTAGACAAATACAGCTGTATTGAAAGCCATGAATTACCTAGAGATAAGTTGAATGAAAAGTGTACTGTAATACTTAATGACATTAGAGTGAGGAGAGACTTCTATAAACAGACATAAAAATATTCACCATCTGAGACTAGATGAATAAATTTAACTATGTAAAATTAATAGCTTTACCACAAAGCATCGTATGAAAAGAACTTCAATATCTGAGAAAGAACTAGAATTCAGCTCTATAAAATCACTGGAAGAATTATAGTCAAATATATTAATTTTCTGTGGCTGCATATCAGATTACCAAAACTATAGCAGTTTTTTATGGATCAGGAGTCCTCACACAGGTTACAGTCCTCTGCTTAGGGTGTCATAAAGCTGTATAATTAATACATGGCCATATAATTGTGTGAATCAGCTTCCAGACTCATTCATGTAGGATCAAAATTCATTTCCATTGGTTGTGGGTTCTTGATGGCTCTCTTCTTGATGACTATTTTCTGGTGGCCACCTCAGTTCCTAGACCCTGCCTACAATTCTTTGTCACATGGTCTTCCTCACTAAGGCTGCTTACTTTGTGAATCCAACAAAGAGAATCTCTAGATTGAGTCAGCTAGCAAGATGGAGCCCATAATTTAACACAATCATAAGAATAATATCCCATTACTTTTTACTTTATAAGAAGCAAGTCATAATTTTTTCCTGAAGTCAAGATTAGGGGCAGGAATCAAAGACACACCTTTTAAGTGGGTCTATCACAACAATCCAATATTAAAAGGAACAAGTGAGTGGAACAATCTCTTCAAAGAAGAAATTGTAAAATGATGTATTCATATGAAAGTGAAAGGTCCTTAACTTTTAGTAGTAATCAGAAAATTATAAAAGAAAACACATTGTCCTTTTGTTTATCATCAGATTGGCAAAAGATAAAGAATATATATGTTTATTTATATTGTACAAATATATTTCCATATATATTATATATGGACAGACGAGATACAGAAAGAGTTTATTCATTTTAAGGGACTGGCCCTCACCATTTTGAATCTCAGAAAGTCTGGCATATTCAGGGAAGGCCAGAAGACTGAAAATTCTAACTGGAGCTGATGTTACATTCTTGAATCTGAAGGTGGTCTGGAGTCAAAATTTCTTACTCCTTGGAAACCCCAGTCTTTTCTTGTAGGACATTTAATTAATTGGATGAGGCCCACCTACATGATGGTGGATAATCTACTTTACTCAAAATCTACTGACTTAAATGTTACTGACATCTAAAAACATCCTCATAGCAACATTTAGAGTAGTGTTTGAATAAATAACCTGACACACATCCTGGCCAAGTTGATCCCATCACACATAAGTTTTTACCACTAAAATACTGTAGGTTTTAATTACTGTTACTTGATTTTCTGTCTGAATCAAACTTTACTTGAATCTTTATAACTAAAGTTTGAAATCTGCTTACCTCTCTTTGGGTAAACATGCAGTGCCTTAGTTCAAAGAACTCACTAAAGCTTTATGGAAAAATCAGCTGGATTAGAGAGACAGACTATTTCATCCTGAAGCACTCTCCCCACCCCCTTGTTTGAGCATTTTAGCACTTCTTTGTATTCTCCATTATATTCTAGGTTCACTGAGTTGCAGGAAGGATACTTTTGCTGTTTGTGAAATCAGCACATTTTTAGCAAATAGTAGGCTTTCAAATATTTGCTGAATGAATGAATCGGCAAGCATGAAATATTTGAATATATGTTTTAAAGGGATCTGTTATTGTATTAGTATATAATTTTTTACTTTAATTTAATAGGAACTTTAGCTCTTTAATAAAATTGAATGTTACTGAGTTGAACAAATCAATAAAATTTAGTAGAGTACTTTGCTTATGTAGATAATCATGCTAATATCTTTTATAAAATGTGGAAAATAAAGACCAACATCAATTAAGAAAATTTATGCCATACAGTATGTACATTTTAGTCATGCTGTCAGTAGTTAACTTTTGTGCTATTATTCTTTTTACTTAATAGTCAGTTTTGATGACCATAAATATATTCTTTTTACTCAGTAATCATTTTTGATGACCAAATATAGCAACTATTTTTTCAATTTCTAAGATGTCAGGAGACCCCATGTAGAAATTAATTTTATCATTTAATTGCAAATACTTTTTGAAGGAAAATGTTCTTTATAAAAAAAGAATATATACAGTGAGTGCATACATATAAATATATATTTATCTGTCTCCTCTTTTAATTTTTTAAGGTGCTTTACCCAGTCCGAGTCTTGTGAGTTCTCCCAGCCATGGATCGGTGTCTGCTGGTTCTCTAACTAATCGGTCACCCATTGAATTCCCTGACACTGCTGATTTTCTTACTAAGCCAAGTGTTATTTTACACAGATCTCTGAGCAATGTATCTAGTACACCAGATTTTTATCAGCACCTTAGAAATTCTGATAGCAATCTGTGTAACAGGTAATTTTCCTAACTTTATTTGAAATAACCTTTTTCTTATGTTAGTGTTATTTATTTTCTAATTAAATGATCTTTATCTGAGGTGAAATATTATGGTACCCATCATGTCAGTAACAGAGAATCATTTTAATATACATTACTTTAGTCCATGTTCACAATACATAGTTCATATGGTGTTAGCAGTTATTTTTGGTTTGACAGGAATATGGGTTTACCTCAGGTCTGAATGTTGACTATAGAAAATACGTTATATCCTTCAAGGACACACAGATGACTTCTAGGTTAAAAGCCTTTTAAATTTATAGAGAGACTAGAATATTAAGATACATAGCAGTTGATATCTTGGTTAAAAATTAAGCACATTGTCTAATCATTATCATATATGTGTATTTGTTTGTTTTATTCTATAAGCTGTGGAAATCAAATACTAAAATATATTTCAACACATGAAGACCTCCACAGTGGAAAATCAGGTGAGACTGCACAAGTAATGTATATTTGAGACTAAGAGCAGTTTTTTACTATGTTTTTTTCAAATGGATAAATGGATTGAATGTTCATTTATCAATCTTTAAGTGCTTTTTTCAGTGCTAAGGATCGAACCCTATAGCCTTGTACATGCCAAACAAACATTCTTATCAAGGAGCTGTTGCCCCAGTCTCCATTTATCAGTCTTTAAAATGAATATTATAATATTTTATCTAATAGAAGATGCATAAAAAAGAAATTATAAAAAATAGATGAAGTTATTTTGAAGAGTGAAAATGTGTTGTACAAATGAATGTAGTCTTTGATCGTGGCTAGTGTTGACAAATAGTGAAATTATTTATAATGTTGAAATTTTTATTGCATGATCTGGGGTCAGAAGAGTGCACAATTTTTTGTAGCATAGAGAAGAGCTGTTCTAAAACATATTCTCAAACAAAAAATATTCTTGTTGAAATCATAGTTGTTTCATAACTGAAATTAATGGCCCACTTATCAGTGATACGTAAGTAGTTAACTCAGGCAAACTTTTTCCTAAGTGCAGTTAGAAAAGCTGAACAAATTATTTTTAAAAATCTAATTAATGTACTAATTAATCTATTAAATCCATTACTCCATTAAAGTACTAATAAGCTACCAAGAATTATAAGATTTGGAGGACAAAAGTTCAAGAATGTGGGCCTGGAGGTTGGGGCTAACAAAAGGGTACCTCCCAGTTCAGAGGGGCCAGTCATTGATAGAATCAGTAGTTTTGGGGGAGTAACTTTAGGAGATACAGACGGATATTGCCCTGGTAGGCATAATTTGGTAAACTCTGAAGTACTATACTCTAAATGTACTTTCTAGCACTTTCTGGTAAATTAGAAATAGGTCCTTTAAAGGTTGATAGGCTCATATAAATCCTTTCACATACTATAAAATTCATCCCTTTACAGTGGCCAGTTAAGTAATTTTTTAGTTTTTTGTTTTTACATCTCAAAGGGTTGTTTATAAATAATGAAAATGATGACCAGTCCTTCACAAACTTTCTTAACTACAGAAGAGGGGAGAACTTCTCAACTCATTCTATGAGACCAGTATTACCTTTATATCATACCCAGACAAATTCATCAGAAGAAAACTATAGACCAATATCTCTTATGTGAATGGATACATAAATTCTTAATAAAATAGTAGCAAACTAAATTCAGCTATATAAAATGGTCACATCATGACCAAGTCCTATCCTAGGAATGCAAGTATGCCTGGACATTCAGACTAATCCACTACAGTAAAAGAATAAAATGTGGGGGGGAACCCACATGTAAATGAAGAAAAAACATTGAGCAAAAGCTAAGACTTGTTTTGTGATTAGAAAACAAACTAAGACTAACTAGGAAAAGGGTATATTCATAATTAACCTCCTTAATGGAGAAAGATTGATGGTATTCACCTTTAAGACCAATAACAGGATGTGATTTGAGGGCGCAGTACTTTTCTTCAATATTGTAGTAGATACCTTAGCCAGGAAAATTAAAAAGAAAAACAAATAAAGTCATCTAGACTCTAAAGGAAGAAATAAAACTACAAATATTCACAGATTATATATGATCCTTTGTGTAGAAATCCCAAAGAAACATGCACTCACACACATACCACACTAGTAGAAACGATAAATAAGTTTGACAAAGTCACAAAATTGGTGATAGGAGAATAGGGAGAGATAGGAAGGAGGGCAAGGGAGAAGGGAAATAAAAGGGATCAAAATGTGATGTGTGTATATACCACTACCCCACAATGAGTGTATTCATTATGTATCACAAACGATGTCTTGCTATGCAGTTCAGGTGGCCTTGAGCTCACTTCCTAGCACAGGCTGGCCTTGAACTCGCAACGATCCTCCTGCCTCAGCCTCCTTAATGCTAGAATTACAGGCCTGTGCCAGTTAAGACTCAGTATTATTAACATGACTGTTCTAAATTGATACACAAATTCAACACAATCCTTACCAAAGTCCAGCAGATTTTTTTTTTATGTAGGAATTGGTAAATTGGTGTCAAAATTTATATGGAAATACATAATGCCTACAATAGCCAATGAGAATTTCAAAAAATAAGTCAGAGGACTTAACACTACTTGATTTGAAAACTTGTTCTGAAGCCACTAATTAAAACATTGTGTTATTCTCACAGTGGTGAGCTTGTATTAGTAGAACGGAACTGAGACTCCAAAAGGAAATTCTTGCATTTATAGTTGATTTTTGAGAATGCCAAGACAATTCGAAGGGGAAAAGATAATTTTTTTTCAGCCAGGATAATATGATACCCACTTGGCTCTTAAAAGAATTTGGGCTCTTACCTTGCTACATGCACAATAAGTAACTAAAAATAGATCATAGACCTAAGTATAAAAATTAAAGCCATAAAACTTCTAAAATATAGGGTGAAGTCTTTGTGACATTGGGTTGAATAAAGCATTCTTAGATACAGTGTCACAATCTATGAAAAAATTTCACAAATTGGGCTTTAGCAAAGTTAAAGCTTTCCTTGCAAAAGATGAAAGAAAATGAAGACAGCAATTTAAGAGGAAACATTTGCAAATTATGTTTGATTAAGGACTTGTATCCATGATGTATAAAGAGCTCTTGCAACCCAATATTAGTAAGTCAGACTGTTCAGTTTAAAAATGAACAAAAGATTTTGCTTATTGTGGTGAAAGTCTAGAATATCTATAATTAAAAGACAGACCTTGTACTGGGACACAGATAAATTGTGACCCTTGTGCACTTCTAATGGGAATGTAAAATGATATCACTACTTTGGAAGACATTTTGAAAGTGTTTAGATGTTTAGAATTTCACATACATTTACTGTATGACTCAGTAATGTTACAACTAAGTCTCTACCTAATAAAAAATATAAGCACCCAGAGGCATGCTTATAATATTACTATTCGTGATGGTGCAAACCTGGAGAGTGCAAATATCCATCAAATTATGAATGGATAAGCATCATGTGTATATCTGTACAGTGGAAGTCTGTTTAGCAAGTAAAGGAATGACCTGATATGTGATGCAATATGAATACGCTTTAAAATGCTATCATAAAGAAGCCAACCTCAAAATACTTTGTTTTATATAGTAACATTTATATAAAATTTTCAAAAGGCAAATTTATAGAGATAATCAGAACAATTGTTGTCCAGGGTGAGAGTGGGGATTAACTGTAAATAGTGATGAGGGAACTTTCTGGGGGTGATGAAAATGTTTGAAAATGGTACTGTCATGATAATTGCATAATTTTAAATTTACTAAAATTGTTAAATTGTACACTTATGTTGTAGGCTAACTATTACTGCTTCCTCCAAATTCATGTGTTTGATTCCTAACCCTGAATGTAGAAGGTGTGGGATGTTGGGAAGGTAGCTAGTTCATGAGGGAAGCACCCCCCTAAATGGGATTAATTCCCTTATAAAAGAAATTTCAGAAAGCTTTTTAGCCCTCTTTTCTACCAGGTGAGAAACTGGCAATCTACAACCTGAAAGAGGGCTCTTACCAAGATTTGAACATGTTAACAATGATTTGAGACATGTTAGCCTCTTTCAGAACTGTGAGAAGTAAATTTCTGTTGTTTGTAAGCCAAGCCCCCAGTCTATAATATTCTGTTGTAATGTTCTGAGCTAAGACAATGTACATACAGTGGGTGGATGTTAACAACAGTAATTATAGTTAAAAGTCTTGTAGAAAAGAATAATAACTCATGGTTCTTTGGGTTGATTGATCTCAGCTGAGAGATTATCACTTGAGGACTTTCAAGTGATTGTCATAGGATATTGGCCAGGGCAGCTCTCATCTGAGGTTCTAATGGGCTGAATTTCCAAAAGAGATTACTTATGTACCTTTTGGCTGTTGACCAGTCCATCTAAATGTGGCCTCTTTATAACTTTGTTCCAATTTGTTGGCTGGATTCCAAGAGAAGAGGATGTGGAAGCTGCCAGTTCAGTGAATGGCTCAATCCAGAACAAAGTGTGACTTCTGCCATACTCTGTTTATCAGAATAGTTCATGCATGAATAATCTTAAGATTCTAGGGCAATGATGGCAAACCTTTTAGAGCTTTCAGTGATAACAAACAGTCGGCTCTGGCTCATGTGCCATAGGTTCACCACCACAGGTCTAGGAGGTTGGTAAATGAAAATTCTTTCTTATAAGAGGAGTGATAAAAATACATTTCCAAAATACGTGTAATAAGATAATGACATCTTATTGGACACACTTGGAAAAGACATCTTTGAAAAGAAATTACTACAATTATCTCAGCTGCTTTTATTGTTGTGTGGCAGATAGTGTTATAATTTCTGATGATTAAAAAGGAGATCATGTAATATACCTCCAATGCTAACAATTTTTACATTAACTGCTATTTTAGAATATTATTGTAGGTACAGCCTTAATTAACTAATATAGTTAGTATAGTATATAGTCAGTAATATAGTCTCCCTTAACTGCAAGGGATACATTCCAAGTCCCCTGGTAGATGCCTAAAACTGTAGATAGTATAAAGTTTTATATATGGTTTGCGCTGGGGATTTAGCTCAGCGGCAAAGCGCCTGCCTGGCAAGCGGAAGGTCATGAGTTCAGTTCCTGGTACCAGAGAAAAACCAAAAAAAAAAAAAAAAAAAAAGAACAGAGTACATCTTTACCTATTTCATAATCAAAATCTAGGGCTATGATAAGTAAATCAAAGTATTTGAATATTACCTTTGAGGAAAGCATGAATTGTTCCAAGTCTTCCAGAAATTTCTATGGGTGCTAAGTAGGACTTGAGAGAAAAATAATGATTCTATATATGGTTTGCTTTTTCTTATACATACATATGTATGGTAAACTTTAACTTATAAAGTAGGCAGAGTAGAAATTAACTATAATAATAATAAAATAGAACAATTATAACAATATACTGCAATAAAATTGTCAGCATCAATACCACTCTGCTGCTTTGAGGCTCTTCCTAAATGAAATGAGTTACTTGAACCCAAGCCTTGCAGTACCCCTATAGTCAGTATTGTAACTAAGATGGACACCAAGTGGCAGGCAGGGGGGCAGCATATGCAGCATATATACACTGGACAAAGGGATGATTCATGTCCTGGCCATGATGGAACAGGAGAGCTTGAGATATCATGACAGTGTTCAGATTGATGCACAAGTTAAAAAATACAGATTTTAATACTGGAAATTTCTTTTTAGTATTTTTGACCCACAGTTGACTATGAAGTTGTAGGAAATGAAACTAGATAAGAGAGGACTACTGTAGCCTAAATTTCTTTCTTTATAGTGATTTTTTTCATCTGGAAAAACAGTATTTTCAAAATGTTAATACTTCCTGTGTCAATAATGATTTTTTGATCTCAGAATTTTAGGCTTAGATTTGATTACCATTTATTTTTTACCTTTTATGTATAACTTCTAGTAAGACAAGTGATATTATCCATATCTTACAGGACTAATAAACTTGTCATTACTAAGTACAGGATTTGAATCCAGTTCTTCTGAAAGTCAAATGAGTGCTCTTAACTGTCTTTTACTTAGTGAAATATTTTACTTAAACTTTACATATTGAAAGCTTAATGAATTTTTATACACTGTACATTCAATTCCCAGATCAAAAGATTAAATATTATCACCTCAGAATTTCCCTTTATGCCCCCTTCCAGCCATATCCTTCCAAGGTAATGATCTTCCTTTTAGTACTTGTATGTATCATTTTTAATATGCTTTTAAACTTTTTGTAAAAAGAATCACAGATTCTATACTTGTTTTCCTGCCTTCCTTCATTGAACATTATATTTGAAGAGTCACCTATTTATATTGTTGTATGTGATTATAGTTCATTCTCCTTGTTCTGTAGTATTCAGTTGTATGGATGTACCACAATTTATTCAACTGTTGTTGGTGTGTTTTAGGAAAATTTCCTGTTTTGGGTATAGAATAAGAATGAATGGACCATTTTTAATCATGTGAATATCATGTGGCTACCAATGTTATGCCCCTTTTAAATGTGACTTGAGAAGAGTATTTATCATATGAGCAGAGAAATAATTACCAATTAATGATATTGTGGTCACATATGTGGCTTAATCTCATTCATTTCTAGTTATGAACTTAAGAATTTTTATATCTAAACCTCAGTGATGTTTAGAGTTGTTTACATCAAATTGGTAAGAAAGTTTCTGTTTGTAGGGACTTGTTTCTCTTTCTCATTTTTATAGAGTATCTACTTTTGTCTTTCATTGATGAGTAGATATATCTCACGTATGTGGTGAGTCCAACATGTGAAATGTGTATTGCTTAAGCACAAGGTGCCTGGGCAAGATAATCTAGACAGGTACAACTTAGTACTGAGTTCCATTATCATTCACTGTATTTGAATATTTTTAACCAATAGCCATTTTTCTTTTAAAGCTATATATTTAAGACAAGTTCCTATTTCTATTTAATACTATATATATTTTTTGAAAGTTGAAGGAGAAAACACCAGTTTTGCAGAAGAATCATTTAACATTCTGGAAATTCAACATGAGGAAACAGAGAAGGGAGCTTGCAGAAATAATTCTACAGAAATATTGGAAGATGATAATCACCTATCCGAAGAGGCACAGCAACCAAATGTAAAAAACAAACTTTCAATATGATTATGTTAAGGTGAAATACAATATTAGTTAGTACTAGTTTCATTATTTTCATCCAGAACAAGATTTTTTTTTTTTTGGTTTTTCTCCGGTACCAGGAACCGATACTCACGACCTTGCGCTTGCCAGGCAGGTGCTTTTGCCGCTGAGCTAAATCCCCAGCCCCTAGAACAAGATTTTTTTAATGTAATAGTATTTTTTTTTTACTACAACTAAGAGAATGCTTGGGTTGCAAATAATAATTAGTTCTTTTTCTTGGTAGGGGTAGTACTGGAAATTGAACTCAGGACCTCATACTCGCCAGGCAGGTGCTGCACTGCTGAGCTAAGCCCCCAGCCCCTAGTTCTAAACTTATAGTCATAGAGCAACAAACAGCATTCATTTTTAAATAAACACAGTTTTATAGTAGATACAATTTTATCAAGATAATACTTTTTTGTTACAAGACTATGTGTATAGTCATTTAAAAGTAATGAAAGGGCCGGGGATATAGCTCAGTAGTACAAGCGCCTGCCTGGCAAGCATAAGGTCCCGAGTTTGATACCCGGTTCCACCACCCCTAAAAAAGTAATAAAAATAATCTACTTAGAATAGCATTTTTGCTTGTCTTTTCATGTCCAGAGTTTAAACTTTTAGGAAATAATCTCATCTACTTGCTTAGGACATTAATGCCAGTACAATTAGATGATATTTTTCTCTCATCCTTTGATATGTGTAACTTTTAAAATGACAATAATAGATTTTAGATTTGTGTAGTGATTTGAAAATATGACATTCTCTGTATCAAAGTAACACATAGATTAACCAGTCTGCTGCCAAGAGACATTTTTGCAATTGTCTGGAAATAGCATTCTATAAAAAAAAGACTTAAGAAGTGTAGATAAAAGTATATTTGAGATAACTATCATAGAAAATATTACTGGTCACTTTTAATGTTCAATTTTCAGTGTTCTCATTTAGATGTTTATTTAACAATATTTATAAAAGGCAGTTTTTGTTGCTTTTTCTTGAACAGGTTAAACAAGAAGTATCACTGGACATGACTGTAGTCGAAGATTATGACTCATTGATAGAAAAGATGAGCAACTGGAATTTTCAAATTTTTGAGCTTGTCGAAAACATGGGAGAGAAATCAGGAAGGATTCTTAGTCAGGTTTGTTTTCAAATCTGTACTTTCTTTTTACTACAAACTTCATGAAGTTTTATAAAAACAAATTCTAAATATAATATTGGGTTAGGTACTGGTTTAACAATGACATTATTCATTTATTTTTTCAGAGAACTAAATATATATAAAATAATTATATATTATATGTACAAAACAATCATGTATATATTATATATACATGCAAAGTACTCTACTTGACTGTATTAATGGAATTTAGTTTAAACTAAAAAAGGAATATTTACTTTCTTTGACTCTTGAGATTGAAAAGGACATGAACATTGATTTAGTTTCTAAGTACTGACACTTAAGCTTCATTTTTTATCACCTACTCTTCCTGTACTTTACCAGAGGCCAAATGCATGTTTAGAGCCATGGAAAAATACTTCTATTTTACTGCCACCCAGGCTAAAGTTTCTACCTTAATGGGCCTACATAAAGTATCAGATTTACTTTTCTGAAATATGACTTTTATTAACTCTTTCATCATTTTTGAAATGCGTAAACCTTTGGACAGATTATGTGATGACATAAAAGTTTATCTCATTGTGTTTGTTAGGCATAAAAATGTGATAATATATTTTTCTGACTTTTTTGATACTTAGGATTAAAGTGGAATAGAATTCATATTGCCCTTCAATCCATTATGAATAGAAACCTAAAGAATGAAAAAATTTAAAAATTGGGACATGATAGTATAGTAAGCTTTGTATAGTAAGCTTCCTTTGGTTTTCATGGACCTTAGAGTGGTATCTCCTTTTCTTATTTTTCTGGAAAGAATCATAGAGAAGTTTTTAATAAATTAACTTGAAGATGTTCACATGGTTAATATTCCTAAATTCAACTCACAAAATATATTATACTCAGCTACAAATAGATTCTGATTGTAAAGTGAACTTTATTTTAATTGACATTTAGGTTATGTATACCTTATTTCAAGACACTGGTTTATTGGAAATATTTAAAATTCCCACTCAACAGTTCATGAACTATTTTCGTGCACTAGAAAATGGCTATCGAGATATTCCTTGTAAGTATTAAAATATCTTATTATTTAAGTTCAAATAGTACTGATTTTGAAACTTTTATTATCTTTCTTTTCAGATGGTCCCTTGTGAACACTTAAAACTACATGTTTGGATTTTTTTTAAAGATGAGGTCTTACTCTATTGTCCAGGCTTAAGTGATCCTTCTGCCTTAGTTTCCCAAATACTGTACTGGGAATACAGGCATGTAGTCTAGCTCCACCAGTTTTTGTTTGGGAAATTTTTAAATAGCTTTAAAAAATCGGTATCCTACTCACAGTTAACTCTTATTTTGGTGTACAACTTATAAATATGACTTTTTCCTTATATAAATTTCTATTTTGTAAAGTGAACTATACTATTGATGTCTATTTATAATCTACTTTTTCACTTATGGTACAGTGTACATCTTTTTATGTTAATTATTTGAGTACCTTACTTTAATTGTTTAATAATATCTAGTCAAGAATTTAGGAAAATTGTGCATTTTAAAATGTTTAAAACTCATCAGTAGAATTTGTTTTTGTGTTCTAATTTACTGAATAATTTTTATTTGATTTTTTGATTGAGTATAATTTGAATTTCATATTAGGAAAATTTACAGCTTTCTATGTTGAAACATTCTACGTGTTGAAACATCTATGTGGATATATTTTTTGGGAATTCAACCTTATAAGAATAAGTTATTCTTAAATTGTCATAGCCATTAGTAATTATGTATAATTAATTAAAGTGAGTTATATATAGTATAACTCTCATTTATAAATATGCATTTAAGAAGTGGTTGAATTTTGTGAATTTTGTGAATTTCTCAAGGGAAGCAGAATAGAAAGTTAGATGGTAAGTTTTTATTCTCAGCTCTGATTAGAACATATTGGTTCAGAAAACAGGCTCTGAACCTAACTTTCCTAAACTTATTTTATAAATTTGTAAAGAAAAATAACCATAGTGCCTACCCCACAGGGAATGATAATATAAAGTGATCGATCAGAAGGATATTAGAGTTCAGAGCACATGGTACATCATCAATGAAAGGTAGTAATTATATTACTAAATGAGTTCCTAATGGATTGACACTATGTCATGTCTATAGCCTAAACACATATTGTATCATCTGCTAATTCTATATTGTAGATATTTATTAATATGTGTTGAAGTGTTTAATTTTATTAAATATAGTCTTTATGTAATCATTATATTCATCTAGGTTATCTCATTTAATCTTTGTTGAAAGATTGTATTATAGATGAGAAATAAAAACTCAGATCTAAAAACTGGATGCCAAAGCTGGTCAGAGTCTTAGATCCACTCTCACTTCTGTGCCACATTGCCTTTTCATATAGTAGTATTACAGGAAAACAACTTTTTATTATCATATAGTAGGTCTCAGACAATATTCTGGATGCTTTCACATTACCAGTAAAGCAAATATGAGATAGGTATTCCTTATATTTTAAAAGAACATTTTTGTAAAAGCATTAGCATCCAGAATTTGTAGCTGTTCTTTGTGTGAAAACCATTTTCCATACTGATCTCTATAATCTAGACACCACATGACATTTTTAAAAGACACAAAATAAAAACCTTGAGAAAATTTTCCCATGTCTTTCAGTGATCTTTTCTTGCCCTGCCTGTTCTTTGACCCTTTACTGTGTTTTTATACTATATATGAAAGCTTTCAAAAGAGAAAACATATCTAGGTTCTTTAAAACTAGGTAAAACAAAATACAATTATGGGAAATTATTCTAACTCATATAATTTATTGATTACAATGTTGTATGGCTAGAAAATTATTTACTTTCTAAATGTCTCAGAAGAAATCTAACAGAATGATCATTTCTATAAAATATTTTGGTGACTTTAGATCACAATCGTATACATGCCACAGATGTTCTACACGCAGTTTGGTATCTGACAACAAGGCCTATTCCTGGCTTACAGCAGATCCACAGTGATCATGAAATAGGAAATGAAACAGGTACTTCCTCCTACAAATCTTTCTTTTAATTATTTGATTAGGAATAATAAATCAAGATGTGTCATTACCTCTGTTCTTTTAAAATTTTAATTAAGTACATTTTGGTACATATAAAAGATTTAAGTTATGATGTATAATAATGACATAAAAATATGTAAACCTGATACCCATCTTCAAAGCTAGATTAAGATATAGTACTACTTAATATGAGTCATTATCCTGAATACTGGGATAATTATTACTTTGCTTCCATTCTTGGTTTTGTTTTATTTCAGGTATATCATGTACATTTAAAATATGTAAACTTACCAAGCTAAAAGAAGCATGTTTAAAAGTTTCACATAAGAATTGAAGTGATGAAGTGGTGATATTAAGAAACTTTGGTAAACATACACATTTTAACATTTGTTGCAGCTGTATAGGCTGAGAATTTAACAAACCATTAAATTCTGGTTCTTCTTTGTTTAGCACTTCTCCCTCAATTTTCCTCTTTCTTCCATTTTACAATAAGCAATAGAACTACACTTTACAAGAGTGGGTGCAGAATGGTGGATATGTGTGAATACACATTGTGGTAATATGTGTCAACTTGGCTGGATAAATTCATCAAGTATTAATTTGTGTGTTTCCTAGAGGGTATTTTTTGGATGACATTAATATTTAAGTCAGTAAACTTTGAGATAAATGTGAGTGGCCTTTATCTGGTAAGATGAAAGTCTTCACAAATGATAGATTGGCCTCACCTGAGCAAGAAGACTTTTGGACTTGAACAGAAAAACCAGCTCTTTCTTGGATCCCTACCCTGTCAGTCAACCCTCCTTTTGCACTTGTGGCCTCTTTAATTGTGCAAGTCAGCTTCTTAAAGATTGACCACCTCCCATATCTGAGTAGTGCTGTTTTTCTGGAGAACTGTGACTAACTGACTAAAGCCATTCTTTGTAGAGGAGGCTTTCAATAGTCAACTGGACAGAATGATATCTTCTTATGGTAACTAAATCTGTTTCTACATCTTCTCCAGTTCTTAGTCAGTGACCTTACAAACACATAGCCAAGACAACAAGAATAGAGGTTATCGATGGGCTGAACAACTTGGGTTTCTTCTCACCAAGGCTGAACTGGCCCAGACCTCTCCTGAGTGCCCAGTTTGCCAATAGGAGAGATGAAGGGTGAGTCCTTGATATGGCACCGTTGCCTTGGGGGAACCAGCCGTCTGGTAGATTCATTACATTGGCTCCCTTCCTTTCTGAAAGAGACAGCTTTTATTCTCTCTTATCCCAGATATAGATTTACTTGTGTACAGTACATCACCATCATTATCTACAAAATACAGAATGAATACTCTCAGGTTATTGTAGACAATAATCCATCAAGTCAAGGACCTGATTTTCCTAGGGGGAAAAGGTCGCAATGAACTTACACCCTCAGAATTTATTGATCATACCATAAAACTTCTCTCCCCACAGCTAGACTAAGAAAATGATGGGATCACATATTAAAGATTTCAAATGGAGAAACTATTATAAACATTTTGTGGAGCTAGGATGATGTCCCATAAAATGTGATTTGTGTCTAAGCCAGTATCCAATATATGACACCATTTCTACTATATCCAGAATACACAAAATTGTGAACTCAAGGGCAGAAATAGTAACTTTTCTAACTATTCCTCATATAATTCACTTGTAAATTTTTTACTTGAAAAAAAAATTGACATGGAGACCCTTCATTCTCAGTGGAGAAATGCTTCCAAAAAGGAACCCAGAAAAGGGTAACATTGAACAGAAAACTGAGATAGGTATTGGCCACTCTGTGTTCGCCATGCTTTTAAAACAATAGACAAAGAAGGGGATTCTGTATAAGCTCAAGTGATTCTGTATAAGCATGTCTAGAGTGCTTCTGAAACTTTCCCTTGTAATGGAAAGAGAAGGAATGCTTCACATAAGGAGTCAACAAAAAAGAAAACTACAGACCAGTATCCTTGATGAAGGTAGATGCAAATATCCTCAATAAAATCCATGCACAGAGAATTCAACAATATATTAAAAGATCATTCACTATGACTAAGTTACTTTCACCCCATGGAAGCAAGAATAGTTCAACGTATGTAAATCAATAAATTTAATACATCACATAATAGAATCAAAGTATAAGAATCACTTGATCATTTCAAAATGTGCAAAAAAAAATCCCTAATGATAAAATACCTGATGAAAATATCTCCACAACTCAAAAGAAGAAAGGTTTATTTTGGTTCACAGTTTGTAGAGGTTTCAGTCCATATTCAACTTATCTGGCTTTAGTGTCAAGGAAATGCCCATGTAAATGAGTTTGGAAGTATTTTATTCTGTTCAATTTTTTTTGGAAGAGTTGGGAAAAGTACAGCTTGATATTGTACTTTTTATTGGTGTATGTTTTTAATACATAATTTTGGTAGACTTTAGACAATAAGTCATCAGGTCCTGAGCTTTTCTTTGATAGATTTTTGATTACTGATTCAATCTCTTTATTATTGATCTGTTAATATTTTCTATTTCTTCCTAATTCAGTCATGAAAAGTTTTATATTGTTAATAACTAATCTGTTTCTTCTAGATTATCTAGAAAAATTCTTTTGTGATATCAGTTCATGATCCTATGTTTCCTCGGTATCATTCGTTATGTTTTTTCTTTCTTTTCTGACTGTATTTGAGTCTTTTTTATTCTTAGCCAGCAAAATGTTTATTTATTTTAAAAAACAACTCTTAGTTTTATCTTTTCTGTTTTTTTTCTAGTCTTATTTATTTCTACTCTGATCTTTGTTATTTCCTTCCTTCTACTAAATTTGGGCTTATTGTGTTCTTTTCCTAGGTTCTTACGGTTAACATTAGGTGTTAATTTGAGACAGTCTTATTACTGTAAACGTCCTTCTAGAATTGCTTTTGCTGTATCCGATTAGTTTTGGTATATTTCCATTTTTGTTTATCTCAGAATAGCTTTTCCTTTATCTTTTGAATTATTGTCTGACCCATTGGTTGTTCAAAGCATTTGTTTTAATCTCCACATATTTGTTAACTTGGGGCTGGGGATTTAGCTCAGCGGCAAAGCGCCTGCCTGGCAAGCACAAGGTCGTGAGTTCGGTTCCTGGTACCGGAGAAAAAAACAAAACAAAACATATTTGTTAACTTTCCAGATCTTCTCTGGTTTTTGATGTGTAGTATACTATTATAGTAAGAAAAGATGTAGTTTGATTTCAGTCTTAAATTTGACAAGACTTGTTTTGTGGCCTAACATATGATTTATCCTAGAAAATGTTCCATGCATACTTGAGAAATGTGTTCTGCTACTGTTGGGTAAAATGTTGATCACATGTCTGCTAGACTCATTAGGTATATTTCACATCTAAGATTTCTTTCGTTATAGTCTGTCTGAATGGTCCTTTCTATGGTTGAAGGTGTAGTATTGAAATCTGATGGGCTGGGGATTTAGCTCAGCGGCACAGTGCCTGCCTGGCAAGCACAAGGTCATGAGTTCGATTCCTGGTACCAGGAAAAAAAAAAAAAGAAATCTGTTTCTTTTATTGCATTATTTATTTCTTCATGCAAATCCATTAATATTTGCTTTATGTATTTATGTGCTCGAAAATTAGGTCCATATATAATTACTTTATTACCTTGCTAAATTGATCATTTTGTCATTAAATGACCTTTTTTGGTCTATTTTTCCAATTTTGACTTAAAGTGTATTTTGTCTGATACAAGTATACTTACCTTACCTTCCTTTTGGTTACCATGTGTGGAGTGAATCTTTTCCATTCTTTTTCAGTCTCTGTGTGTTCTTAAAGGCAAAGTGAGTCTCTTGAAAAGGTCTTGTTTTCTTATATTCAACCACTTTTTGTTGTTGTTGTTGTTGTATTGGACATTGAACTCAGGGCTTTTGTATTGAGATACATCCAGTCCTTTTTAAAATTTTGAGACAGGGTCTCACTAAATCACTAAGTATTTCAGGCTGGATTTGAATTTGCAGTCCTCCCACCTCAGCCTTCCAGAGTGCTGGAAGTACAGGTGTACACCACCATACCTGGCTCACTCTTTCAATGGGAGACTATAACCTATGAATATTCAAGGCAATTATTGATACATATTGCTGCTGGCTTTTTAAAATGGTTTTGAGTTATCTGGTAGACAGATTGTTCTTTTTCTCTTGCTGTTTTCCTTTGTGATTTGATGATTTTCTATAGTAGTATGATTTCTTTCTTTTGTGTGTGTGTGTGTGTGTGTGTGTGTGTGTGTGAATTGCTTTGAGATTACCATGAGACTTACAGAGAACATTTTTTAGTTACAACAGGTTAGTTTAAGCTGATAATAGCTTAACTTCAGTTGCATAAACTCCATACTTTTTCTCTGTCTTGCAGATGTCATTTATCTATTAATCTTTGATGTATATTAAAGCACAAAGGGTTTTAATTTTGATTCATTACATTTTTTGTTGTTGTTTATGTTCATATCTCAGAATATTTTAAGACAAGGCATGAAGATTTCCTATGTTTTCTTCTAAGTGTTCTTAAGTTTAGGTCTGTGATCCACTTATAGCTAATTTTAGGGTGTGTAATGAAGAAGTCTAACCTTACTTTGAATATTGATAGCCAGTTTAGTAGCATTTGTTGAAAAAGTTTTTAGTCTGTTCTAAACACAAGGGGCTCTTAAATGTTACTAAATCAGTTTCTACCCTATAAGATGTTGTAAGCATTAAATAAGATATCAAGGAAAGTGCTGAGCATCATGCAGGGCATGTAGTCGACTCTCACATAGATCTTGGCACCCTTGTCAAAAACCCGTTGACCATAGATATGATAGTTTATTTCTGGATTCTCAGTTCCATTCCAGCTCTGTAAGCTTTGAGGTTGAGAAATATGAATCCTCCAACTGTGTTTGTCTTTTTAAAGACTGTTGGCTCTTCTGGGTCCCTAACAATCTCATATTAATTTTTAGACTCAGTTTAGACAGCTGTATAAAAAAGCAACTGGGATTTTGATATGAATTGTGTGGAATCTGTGGAACAGATTAGAGATTACTACCATTTAAAGAATATTAAATATTCTGATCTGCTGGGCATGGTGCCGCATGCCTATAATCCCAGGACTCAGGAGGCTGGAGACAGGAGGATTGCCATGAGTTCGAGGCCAGCCTGTACTACATAGCAAGGTCTTGTCTCCAAAACCAAAAACAACAACAAAACTTCTGATCTATAATCATGAGTATTTTTCCATTTCTTTAGTTTTTTTTAAAATTTCTTTCAAAAATACACTGTAGCTTCAGAATACTAATTTTTTACTCTTTGATAAATGTGTTCCTAAGTTTATTCTTTTTGATGTTCTTGTAAATGGAATCTGGAAGTGGGTTTTTTTTTATTTGTTACCAGTAATTTGGTATATAATTGCTTTTATCATGTTGATCTTGCACCCAACACTTTGATGAACTCATTTTTATTTCTCATAGTTTCAGAGTAGATGTCTTGTGATTTTCTAGATTTAAGACCATGGCATCTCCAAATAGGTTTTGCATCTGTCCTTACAATCTAAGTGCCTTTTACAAGGCCTCCTTCTAAATGAATCAGCAAATTAAATGAATCTCTTTTTTTCTGAAAGGAAATAAAGAAATGAGATACATAATAATTATATTTAGTTATTCTTGCCAGCTGTTTTCATTATCATACTATTAATTTTTTGTTAAGTATATTTTTGTGAAGCATAATCTGTCAGTTAATTTATTTGAAAGAGTATTGTTTTGCCACCTTGATTTTTTAAATATACTTTTACAATTGTAGGGAAAACTCAGAATGTGTATGACACAGGAAAAACTTCAAATGATTCACCCTGATATTGATAATCAGTGTCTTGTTAGAAGTTTGCATATATATGTATATATCCTGATTTGTATATTTCACTACCTTGTTTTTATTTTTATAAGTATATTAAAAGTATCTGTATTGTTATTCAGAAACAATTTAAATATAAAATTAGATAAACAATATGAAACTAAAGTGGTAGCTATAATTTATAATTATCACTAGTATACTAAGTTACTATATTAAAAAGTTCTTGTGATGATGAATATCAAGACAATTAAAATAATTTAAGAGTCATTTTGAACTTCGACAAGCCAGGACATTACTTCTAGATTCCACTGATGAACACAACTAAGGAATTTTTGTATCTCTTATATCTTTGCCTTTATGTACTATCTACCATAAATACAGTGTCAGGGTTTTTTCCTTGTAATTTCTTAAGATCCCTTTAGCAAGAATGTCACCATCTAGACAAAGCCACCAAAATAGATAAAAGAACAAATGGTAAGGTAGTAAGAACAAAAATACACAGGGTAGATATGTTAGAAACGTTGTTTCTAATAGGAGGATAAAGTAGTTATGTTGACTGAGACATTCCCCAGTTTTTCATGTCTTGTAACTTTCTGTAGTTTTAAATTCCCTTATATGGAAGGAAGAATAAAGGGAAGAAGTTTTAGTCAGGGCCAGAAATGAAATTTAATCTTTCTAGATGAAAACTAAAAACCATGTAAATGAGAAGTTCACCTTGGTAATATACCAAATTCCTAAATCTCTATACATTTTTCATCAAATTTTATTATCAGTTATTTTTTCTCTTATATCCTATACCTGACCATTTTATCTAGCCCTTAAGTAACAAATGTAGATAGAAAATCAGAAGTTCAAAAATGATTAGCTTGAGTAAGAGAGCATCAAGCTGGCATGAACATACTATCATGGCCTGTCATCTTCTAATGTGTACACTGGAAAGCATATACTCTTAATTCCATGGAGTCTGTTTTTTAAATCAACAAATGAGATAAATGATCATATTACCTGCTGGGTAATCCTCTCCTTAGTGTAACTGTGAAGGAGTTCCTGCTAATGCTGGTTTATTTTGCTATTTGTTGTTCCTCAGAATCCGATGGTAGAATTAATCCTGGACGAATTGCTTATATTTCCTCAAAGAGCTGCTCCATTCCAGATGAGAGCTATGGCTGCCTGTCTTCAAACATTCCTGCATTAGAATTGATGGCTTTGTATGTGGCAGCTGCCATGCATGATTATGATCACCCAGGGAGGACAAATGCATTTCTAGTGGCCACAAATGCACCTCAGGTAGGAAATACTTTTTCAGAAAGTTTAAAGAGTAGTTCTGAAATTTTATAATCATGCTGCAGATCCTTATATTAACCATTCTTGAGTCAGATGGCCATTTCACTTGACGTATAAGACCATCGTTATAATTAATTAGACAAAAACACATGACACTGACATGCTTTATGCTACAGAATTGGGAAAAAAATCACATTCATCAACTAGAAAAGAGTAGTTTATAAAATAATAAGTCTTTGTTTTTTGAAATTCTGGAGACCTTGCCAAAAATATTTTTGCTTTGGACCAAACTGTCAAAACTCTGACTAGTTCTAAGATTTATATTACTTCTGGCTAAGTTAGTCATATGCTTAAAAACTATAATGGTTGAGGATAATTATTAATCTTTTTGTCATTCCCTTTTTTCTCCTATGATTTGTCTTAATATCCAGACCTAAAATGGTTTTGCTGTGAATATATTAGTGTATTTTAAAATCTGGTATAATATTATTTTTGTATCCAGTATAGATGTTGAGGTATAAAATTCCTTTTTTGTCATGGTTTAAAGTGGTAGGAGGTCCCCCAAAATGGATAACTGTAGTTACTATCATTTTAAATATGAAAACATTTAACAACATATATTTAATATGGTTGTGGGTATTTGTTTATGCTGATTTCTAAAATGTCATTTGTGTGTTTCTAACCACATGCCTTACAAATAGCATGTACTCAAATGATTTTTGAATTCATCTGTCTTCATTTTACTGTGAAGAACTTCTTTACTTCAATGTGTTGAAGCTTCAGTTCTGATCTTTTCATCATCTATAACTATTTTCTGCTTTCTTCTTTACATCTTTGTCTCTTCTGTGTACAATAACAAGATAAATTCTCTTGAATCTCAAGGTGGTGAAAGTGAATGTAGGGCAAGCATGTACAAATGTGGAGGTATATATAAGTATGAGTGAGTGTAATGGTATGCATGTGCAAACGGGTTAGAATGGCAATGTAATTCATTTCTCCAATGAGGCTATATTAATAGCTCATGATTTCCACAGGTAACTTTCCGGTAAATTTAAATCTAGTTATTAGTATTGGTCCACTCTAAGAGTTGTTGAGACAGAAACTACCTGCTCCAGAAGACATATTTCTCCATTTGCAGTACAATTCTGCAAAATTCAAATGTCCATTCTCTCTAACCTAACACAAATAACCTTCAAAAATCCTAGTCATTTGGTAGATCATAGGCAATTGCAACAGTGAAGGAACCATGAACTTACTCATTTCTTTTCCTGAACTGGCCAGACGAAAGTTTATTAAACCAGGCAGCTTTACAAAGCACACATTTTACACTGTGTTTTATTGAGCCAGGAGTTTTATTTCTATATCCTGACGAGACAAATCTAGTCTGATATTTATCAGATTTGAGCACAAATTAGTCAAACCTATTAAATATAAATTGATCCCTTAGGGATACTGAAAGCTTAGTCTTTCTCTTAGGGATTTAAAAAAAATTAGGAGCAGGCTGGTAATATAAGTAATCTACTCTATAGGAGGCATTTTACTAGGCATTTCAATATTTGAAGAAATGTAAGAATAATTTTATGATTAAGTAGACTGACATTCAAAGAGGTTAAAGTTCATCTTTCCTTCCAGCACACATAGCTAGTAAGCAAAAGGGTTATTAGTCTCCAAATTTCATCTTCTTTGCAGCTACCATGCTGCCTCCCAAGAGACGGCAGGGTGGTATTTTGAGGTCTACTTCATCCCATCAGTAAACCTCCTCAGATAAAACTGTAAATGACTTTAGGGATCTAGAACAGGTTTACAGATAAATGTCTTTTCTGGTTGTAATTTTTTTAATTATTAAAGTTTCATGTCTTTGAGATGCCTGCCTCATTTTTTAAAATTTCTTTTTAGGCAGTTCTGTACAACGACAGATCTGTTCTAGAAAATCATCATGCTGCATCAGCTTGGAATCTATATCTTTCTCGGCCAGAATACAACTTCCTTCTTAATCTTGACCATGTGGAGTTCAAGCACTTTCGTTTTTTAGTCATCGAAGCAATCCTTGCCACAGATCTTAAAAAGCATTTTGATTTCCTTGCTGAATTCAATGCCAAGGTTTGTTATAGAAATTAGCGCCTGATTTCAGAAAGGGAAATCACTGTTGATAGTGTTGTTGGAATCAGTGTTTTTAAATGTCTTTAGAGTACTATTCATGCAGTAACAAAAAATTGGTATAAGAATGTATATGTATATATATATATATATATATGTACACCTTTATCCTAAAAATATTTGTTACGGTAACATGTCCTAAAATACTTTTATTTGCTATATTTTCTTCTTATTGTCTTCTTTTATTGGACATTATTTCACATAGTGACAAACCTATTAATGATTTGAGAAAATTAAGCACAATGCCAAGGAAGACCTTCTATGAAGTCAAGGATGTATTTCTGAGAAGCCAGTTATGCCTACCTTGCTCTGCCTGTTATACTTTCATTGTATTAGTAAATCTTTAACTGGCTAACATGCAGGAGAGAAGTATGTATCCTCTTCCACTTGACAAGAATTCACTCATTCAGCTACTATCTATTGCAATTGCCCACTATGTGCAGTAATTGTGCTAGGGAAAAATGAAGAAAGAATGGGCCAGAGTCCTTGCCATCAATGAACTCAAGGGGATCGAGAAGCACTACCCTATTATGATTATGGTACATATGGGAGCATGTGTTATCTCTCAAGACATTTGGGGTGAAAAGTTAAAAACCACTACTTTAGATTCCTGTGATGAAGGATGGTCTCTCTTTTGCTGTCAGGAAGCTGAAATTGCCTGGATTTTTGTGACATGAAGCTGTATCATTAGGGGGGGACAAACAGGTAACAAAGGAGTACAAGATTTAAGTGCTTAGGAGACACCTACATATGTTGCCATCATAGTAGTAATAAAATGTTTATAAAAGCAGAGATCAGATGCCTTTAAAATTATTTCATAGTTGTAGAGCTGTATTCACTTTATGTGTATACTTTATTTTTTTGGTACTGGGGATTAAATCCAGGTCTTCACACTGAGATACATCCACAGTCCATTTTCTCTTTCCTTTTCCTCCTTCTACTCCTAGTTCTCTCCTCCTATTCTTTTTTACTTTTTCTTGTTTTGAGGCAGGATCTTGCCAGATTGCTCAGGCTAGGCTTGAACTTGTGATCCTCTTGCCTCAGCCCCCTAGAGTACTGAGATAGCAGGTGTGTACCACCACACTTGGCTTATGTGTATACCTTTGAATCTGTGTTCGTCTGAGTTCTGAAGTTTCTTGGGAAAGTCTCATGAGTGACGCTCTAGAATTCCCACTCAATTTCAATGAAAAAAGCTCTTTTAGATATTTTGTATGTTGGTGGACTGCAAAAATAAATTTTTCCTTGATGGAAGGGTTTTGTGCCAAAAACACTCACCGTTCACACTGAAGCTCAGAAGCTATGATAATCTGGCCTATTTTCATTTTTTACAAAAGGAAATTTGAGTACTGAATAATAATTCTGACTACTGATAAATCTTTTTGTTTAAATGTTAGCACTTAGCATATTATGAATGAGGCATTTTTCATGTATTAACATTCATGGAAGTATGGCTAAATTTCTTATTTTATTTTATTTTTTTAATTTTTTTAATTTTTTTTTTAATTTTTTGGTTTTTCTCCGGTACCAGGAACCGAACTCATGACCTTGCACTTGCCAGGCAGGCGCTTTGCCGCTGAGCTAAATCCCCAGCCCCTAAATTTCTTATTTTAAAGATGAAAGTTAAATTCAAGTAGGTTAAGTAATTTTTCTTGTATTACACAATTAATCATTCTGAGTCAAGATTTAAAAATGTAGAAACCAACTTCAAGTATTTTTTTTTGAAACTATATCACTTTGCCTGTTACCTCTAGCATCAACTCCTCTTTAGCTCCTTAAGCATAGATTTTTGAAGTAGAAGCAGTTATAATTCCTATGACCTCCTGATGTATATACATATATTTATTGTACATAACAGATGCATATATACATACACATAAATCATTGTTTTCTGTGGTAATCACAAATATTGAAACCCATGTTAGTTATATTTTAGAAAAGCTATGGTTTCTATTGAAGCAAAATTCTAGTAACACTTCAGCTGGAAATTTAACCCATGCAAGTCCATGTTATGGCATACAATGATTAAAAGAAGCATTTACTGAAATTTCTGTCATTTAGACAAGAAGAATTTAAGGTAACCTGGTAAAAATAGACAACTACTAGAAAATTCTTGTGCCCTTACAACCTAAAATAATTCTGTTTTTTCAAAATAGGCCAATGATGTAAATAGTAATGGTATAGAATGGAGTAGTGAAAATGATCGCCTCTTAGTCTGCCAGGTGTGCATCAAACTAGCAGATATAAATGGCCCAGCAAAAGTTCGAGACTTGCATTTGAAATGGACAGAAGGCATTGTCAATGAATTTTATGAGCAGGTAAGTTGCATAATGAGATTGGTGGGATTTTTAAGAGCTGTCATGTGAAGAATGAACTTATAAGGATTTGGTTAGCTATGTTAAGTGTTTGAAATCTGAGTTATTTTTGACCAAAAGGGTTAGAAAATGTTTCATTTGCTCTGGTTCTTAGTGTTTTCTCAGCTCTGTTTTCCTTTGTTGCTAAAATTTTTAAAAAAATTGCCTAATGCCTTTCTGGAGTGATTCGAGTCTACAGCAAAGGACAGAGTATGAGCCCAAGGCCCCTTTCAACCCTAAGAATTATAATCTAGAACAACCAATTTCTGAATGAAGTACTTTTAAAGTAAGTTCAGAGTTTACTCAGAATATGCTTAAAGAATATCAATAATGTTGCATGCAGAGTTTAAGCATTGTGGGGAGTAATTAATCTCCAAACAGTTCAGACACTAGAACCAATTGTGAATAAGTACCATTTAGGGAATCCTTCATTTGCATAATACTATCTTTCATACTTATAGCAACCTTATATGGTAATTATTATTCAAAATTTACATGTGATAATAGTAGGCATAGAGCTTGCCCAGTACCACATAGCTTTTAAGTGATAAAGGTGGTTTTTGAAACTATTTTTGTCTGTTTTCAAATTGTGCTAGCTAGAACCTTAGAAGCCATATGAGCTTATTATGCGATTACATAGCAGGCAGTTAGGGATCTGAGCACAAATTCTCACCTCAACAACAGTAGCTCTACTTTTGTTTTATACACTGGGTTTTCTGGTTTAGATTCATTAGAGGGCTCTGCTGTTAAGGGTGGGAAGACTGAAAAACCCTTAGAAAATTCAGCTGCCTACATTTGAGATAAAACTACAACAATCAAAATGTGTCCATTATGCCTTTCTTTTAAGGAGAAAGAGAGTCTGTATTTGACATTACAGAATTTTGCAGGTTAGTAAAATTGCTGATACTTATTTTAATAGATACATGTATTTCTTTTTTAACTGAATATCCATACTGGTTGGTGTGGACAGAATATGAAAATAAAGTTTTAAGATTTCTTATGTATTAGAGAAATTTTTACAGTTGAAATGATAGAATAGATTCATTGATATTTCTTTGAAAATATTACTTTGAATATATTTTAAGAACCTCAAGATAATTTTAACACCAAAGATCAGCAGTTGGTCTTCAAATAGTTAAACATGTATTTTTCTTTTTAAAATGCTCAGGGAGATGAAGAAGCAAATCTTGGTCTACCCATCAGTCCCTTCATGGATCGTTCATCTCCTCAACTAGCAAAACTCCAAGAGTCTTTCATCACTCACATAGTGGGTCCCCTGTGTAACTCCTACGATGCTGCTGGTTTGCTGCCGGGCCAGTGGGTAGAAGCAGAAGAGGACGATGACAGTGCAAGTGGTGATGATGAGGAAGGTGAAGAATTAGATACAGATGAAGAAATGGAAGACAATCTAAATTCTAGTAAGAATTTATGGAGAACTATATTTAATATTATTTGCTACAAATGTCCATTTAATTTGGGTTTAGAACTTTGCTTCTAGATACAAATTCAGCAGTCATACCTTGACTAATGACTAACTAGATGTTTAGATTTAGTAGTCAAGTATTTAGTAACTGCTATGTGGTGGGTTCTGTGCTAATAATATCAAATGCAAGAATTCTCATTCGCATTCATTGGAAACACCTCTTGAGATGCTAACCTTTATTTAGCCCGCGCTCTTCAGCAAAGTCCACTTGTGCATGCAAGACAGGGCTATCACTACGTCTGCTTTTGTGAAGTAGGTATCCTTACACCTAGTCTTCATTCATCTTGCCCTTTGTCAAGGGCACCCTACTGCATACTCCCCTAGGCAGATGTAGAGCACAACTTCTAAAGCAGCCTGCTAATCTGCCTTCCACATAGACTTGAGAAATGTATCAAACAGTGCAGAGAAAAGGAAAATATACATTTCTGAGCTCTAAGGGGAGAACCAAGTTTTGTGATGTTAAGAATTTAAGTTATCAAACTATAGTGATGTATTTTTTCTTTATAAGACAGTGAATATAAATGGAAAATGAAAAAGCCCCATTCATCTCCTATGTAATTGTGAGTAAAATTAATTATTTGCTCTTTAAAGTAGTATTTAAAATATACTTACCTAGGTATTTTTTCCCAAGCATGCTATAAATCAGAACAGATAGGATGACTACAAAGAACCCATCCCCCAACCCTTTCACACACATGTACCTTGTCTTTAGGATTAGCATAACTAAGAATCATATGGCATTACCATGAGTGTTACTTTGAAAAGATTGGCTGACTTCTAAAAATAATATTGGCCAGAATGTTGATAATTGTGTTTAACTGACTACATAAAAACTTTTAAGAGGTTGGTTTTAAACTTTGACTGTTACGGTTTTCACTTGAAATTTCAGTACAATACTTCCTTTCTTCCCTCCTATCCAGTCTTATCTATTCCTCTTCTGTTTTATTTTTATTCCTAACATTTAATACCATCTAATATATTCATATTTTGATTCATTTTGATTTTTATCTAGGTTGTTCCACTAGAATGTGCGGTGCTTAATAGAGTGATTATTCTTATTTCACTATTCATTATTATAACCTCAGTGCTTACATAACTACTTAGGATATATTAGGTGCTGAGACATTTGTGTGAATGAATGAATGATAGCACAGTGATTAGAGTATGTTTATTTTAAATTTCACAGAACCACAAAGAAGGAAAGGCAGACGACGAATATTTTGTCAGCTAATGCACCACCTCACTGAAAACCACAAGGTATGGAAGGAAATTATAGAGGAAGAAGAAAAATGTAAAGCTGAGGGGAATAAGCTACAAGTAGAGAATGCCTCCTTACCTCAAGCAGATGAGATTCAGGTCATCGAAGAAGCAGATGAAGAGGAAGAGCGACAGTTGGAGTAAAAGAGAAGTCATACTGAAGAAGCCTGGAGAGCTGTCCCCAGGATCAGAAATCATTACCTGGTATTCACTGTGCTGATGTTCAGTTGACCATTCCCACATAGACAGGCCTTAATACTGTGAGAGGATCCTTGCTATGCTGGCAGTTTCCCACTCCTAAGCACTTTCATCACGTGGACTAGAAAATTATACTTAGAGCTGGGCTTCAGTTGACTTGTGTTGCAAAGCCATTACTCAAAGCCTTCACTGGTGTATAAATACTTTGTCATAATGCTGCTTTGCTGCGTAGTGAGCTCTTATTTTTCATGGGGCAGGGGGCTATAACTAAAAAAAAAATCAAGTGACCTGACTTCAGTTTCCAAAGTGGTCAGAACTTTCTGCCTTCATGAAAACAGGATTTGTATTGTATTTCCAAATGTATCTTTTATGTTTTTCAGTGTTTTGAAAAAAGTCTGTGCCTATATAAAAAGGAATCCACTGTGGCCTTTCTGAGGAATTTCTGCTCAATGCAATACACTGTTTAGTGCTTTTCTCCCAGCTAGGTTTGTCCATGAAGGACTGATGGACCTTTGTTATATTTAACAAAATCCAGGTGCATCGATTTCTGATGCTTTTTACTGTTATGTATTATCAGCTGTGTGTTTTATGTCTGCTCAGAGTATTCAGGTTGCCATGGGCATCAGACATCTGAATTCTAGTCTTATGGACTATGTTCCATGGTTGAACTTTAAAGCTGTTTGAAGGAATTTTATTCTTTAGTCAAAACTGTTCTTTTACTCTTGCTCAGGATTTGTATTTTTAAACATTTACTTAATATAAACAGATTTGTCAGAAGAAAAAAGTTGTCTTAATATTGATGTTAACCTTTTATTAAATGAACATTGTTTTTTCTGTTCTTAGATGAATTTGAGACTAATTAAATCTAAGAAAAAGGAGTTAATCTGTCTTTTGCCTTAATGCAAAATCAAATGAAACTAATCCCTTCAAAGATAAAGAACAAAAGAAATATCGTGAGCTCTAAAGGACACATACATTGAATAAGTAATCAGAATATATGGTTATCTTAGATAAAACCAACATTCACTTTTTTGCTAATTATTTTCTGCCTGAAGACTACATGACAAAAGTGACTTGTTATTACTCAGTAATTCTAGATTCTAACTACAAGATTCATTTCTGAGATAAAGTAAATGATGAGAATACTTCAGTTCATATAAAAAAATCTAAATATTTTAGTAAATCATTTTGCAGAAAAGCATATAAACAAATAACCACATTATAAGGAGAATTATAAAGAAAATAAACCATATTTGCAATGTTTATAAACTTGCTATGGTGCAGATATATATCCTCACTGTGAAAAATATCTGAGGTTATAAAGTGCAGCCAAATTGATACAGAGAGGGTAAGCTAGTGTTTTTCATTATTTCTCAAGACTATATCATATGTTGTTGATGTGCAACTTTGTAGACAATAAACCATTAATTTATAAGGTAATTCCTTTAAAGTATGATATTAACAGAAAGTTTTTTATCTACCTAGAATATTTGGGTTACCTGAAAGATGTTAAAGATCCATTAAGTGTTGGGATCTTGATCCTGCACAATAACATAATATTTAATAAATTACTAAGCTTTATTTATTAAACATACTGAGTTCTGAATTCCTTCCTGCCACTTTTGCTACCATTACAACACCATTTACAAACTATTCAATCCTATCATATATTACTAAATAATAAAAATTTGAGTTTGCACATGTGTGTAAATGTGTGTATATATGAATATATATGTATGTATATGCATATATATATATCCTGTGCTTATATTCTGTAGCATACATTTTGCATCCTACATAAATGCTTTTTTGATATTTTCTGACAGAATACAATATATTCATGTATCTGTATAAATTCATACATGTGCATGTATGCATAGTAAGGTCACATTGCTATTCTAATTATTGAAATTTTGTATGGTACTTGCTTAGTTTATGTTTATTTTCTTGAAAGAAGCACATTTTTATTCTATTAAAAATACTCTCACTTATAAGTCATTTTAAAATAATCCTTAAATTACTTAATTTTTACAGATTGACATATATCCAAATAACTAGTCCAAAGAAACCCAAGGGCCTGGGGACATAGCTCAGTGGCACAGCGCCTGCATGGCAAGTGCGAGGTCCTGACTTGGATTCCTAGTCCCCCCTCAAAAAAAACCCTCAAAAAATAAATTTCTACTAAAATTTTAAGGTTTATAATTGGGAGTGTTATAGCTTGTATCTAGATGTTCCCCCAAAACCTCCATGTGGTCATAGGTGGGGCTTGTCAAAAGTGGTTGGGTTAGGGTATGTGAATGTGGATTAAGGGTGTGAATACTGGCAAGTCTTGTATCCTGGATGGAATATAAAGGGAAAAAAAGAAAGCAGACTGCTGTTGCTATGTGCTGCCTTCTGCCTGCCTTGCTGTGGACTGCTTCTCTTCAGCCACGCCACCTTCCTTTTAGCTAGCCACCTACTGACTGAAACCTCTACAGACTGAGCCAGAATAAACCTCTCCTCCTTTAACTGTGGGTGTCGAGTATTTTGTCTCAGCAACAAGAAAAGTAACTAAGACAGTAAGAAATGAATGTGAGTACATTAAATATACACAGTACTATTAGCTAGAATATTATTTAACAAATTACCATAAGCCATATAATAGCTTTTCCTCCTCCTCCTGCTCCTCTTCCTCCTACTGCTCTTCCTCTTTTCTTTCATCTTTGCCTCTCATTCGTCCCCTTGCTCCCCACCTTCTTTTGGTGCTGGGGATCAAACCCCAGGGCTTATGCATGTTAAGCAAGCTACATCCTCAGCCCATATTACAGGTCTTTCTTGATTGCTACTGAATCAGGTTACTTTTTCATTACAGTAATTTTCACCACAAATTTGCTATTGTTGTCACTGATTTGAAAAATGTTTATCCATGTAATATATCTTTGTGTTTACTGATAAGTTTTTCTCCATGAAAATCTTTTTTAAGTTGTTATTTGAAAACTGTTTATTGATAGTCTCCCATTTTCTTAGCTAGTGCGCTTGGCTTTGTCTGCTTATTTTTACATAAACCTGGAGATTTGGACATTGCTTATGTAGTTAGAAATTTACACTCTCTAGATTTCTTTATCTTATAAAAATGTACCTTACAAAAGAAATGAATACGGCCAACTATTTTCCCTTTATTGTGATTGCCAGCCTAATATGAGCACCTCTAGAGGATGTGTAGGATATCAGAGGCAGTGGAACAGAGATGAACAAGTTTTTAGAGAAAGGGGACTTCTAAGCTGAGAACTGATGAATTAGGTGTTACCTTGGATATGACTGTAGTGGTACAAAACCAGTACATACAAAGGTCAGGAGAGGAGAACCCGCCCCCATATTGGAGAAGTCAACCAAGACTTGGGATGGCTGACACAGAGCGAAGGAAGAAGTGGTTAATGAAGGCAGATGATGGTTAGCTGGAGGCCCTTGAAAAGTATGACATGCCATGTAAAGTACATTTCTAAGGAAATGGCAAACAGTTTTAATCAGGGAGAAAAACAGTATATTTTATGAGGGTCACTCAAATAACACACTTTTAAATTGCTAAACAAAGATTATAGGAGGCTATTGTTTAGAACAGAAAGCAGAATAGAAGCTGTAAATGATAAAGTATGTCATCTAAACTCAAGGTTTATTCAACACTTACACTGAAATCTCAGTTTAAACCCTGGGCCTATCATAAGTTAAAAGAATCTGAAAATTCTTCATTTAAAATAGGCTTTGAGGTGAATACAGTGACTTTAAATTAGTAGTCTCTCCTGGTTTTCAACAAAAGGAAATGCAAACCTAAGGGAAATACCTCCACTTTAAGCATTTTGCATATGTTTATATTAACATCAATTAAATGTAAACTCACAAGCAAAGATCACCATGATGGTTAAATTTTACGTGTCATTAGGCTAGGTACCCAGGCATGATACCTGGGATATCATGATCCAACAAAAGATAAAAAAGATAAAAAAATCATATATCAAATGAAATATATTAATGAAAGAAAAGATAAAATGACAAAAATGAGCAAGCAATGAGATACAAAAAAATCAGAAAGAAATGACTATTAGATTGACAAAACTGTCTCAACACCAACAACAGAAGCCAGAAAACTTGTTAACATTTTTTAAGTGCTGAGGAAAAGGTAACTCATAGCTAACAAGCAAACCTATCAAAATTTATGGTTAATATAAAGACATTTTCAGATAAACACTATGAGGCTTTCCAACCAAAGACACCCTAAACAGATCCCCCCTCCCCTTGGACATGAGGTTTCACCTTTCACATGAGGTTACCCAGGCTAGCCTTGAACTCAGGATCCTCCTGCCTCAGCCTCCTAAGTAGTTGGGATAACAGGCACACATCATTTTACATGGCTCAAACAGAATTTTAAAAGAAGTGCTTTTAAAGTTTGCTTTAATGTGCATGTAAACTACTTAGTTAAATTGTATTCATACAGTTAAATTGCAGATTCTGATCCAGTAGGTCTGTAGTGGGCCTTATAAGACTGTAATTGTTAAAACTACGTGCTGTAGGAGCGTGTACTTCTTGAAAGTTTCTAGGTAATAAAATATGCTGTTGATGCTCCTAGCCCATTGATTGCACAGTGTACCAATAACCTAAAGCATATACTTCAGGAGGAAGAAAAATGATTACAGAAGGGAGCTCCAAGATAAAAGAAGTAATGAAACTGGTAAAAGAAAAAAGCACCCAATAATTATCTATATGAACTAAAGGTAATAATTATTTTGTGGGGCTTTACTAAAAACCCAGCACAAATATCCTGGATAACAAGAGCATGTGTTCGAGAGACTACGGCCTATTAAGAGCTTTATGTACTTTAGAAAAGAGATTAAGATATTAAACTTCAGACTTCTTAAATTATGTATGTTATTAAAACTTCAAGGAGAACTATTAAAAGTACAAAGTATAAAATTTCTAAATCTGACATTTTAAGAGGAAAAGCATTATTATGGATGGAGAGTCATTATGTAATGTTAATACTTCTATATTAAAGGAACAGAAAATAAACATACATATCTATTAAAATAGCTTGAAAGATGTGTAAGTTAAAAGTTAGTAGATCTACAAAGATAAATGAGCAAATCCACAACTTGAGTGGGAAATTTAACACTGTTTAACAGACCAAAAATTTAAGAAAATAATAAATTCTGATTTATGGGACACATGTAGAACCCCAAACCTGGCAGCTAGAGAATACATTTTTTTCTTAAACATCCAAAGAACATTGACCAAAGTTGTCTATAAAGTAATTCTCAATATAAGACATTTTCTATGAAGGCAATTCAATTAGAAATAAATAATATTTTTCAAATAGGTATGCTAGGTAGATTTAAGAAATTGCTCCTAAATAACTCAAGAGTCAAAAGAGACCCCAGGAACATTCAGCTATTTGATCTTTGGGGCCAAAACGCTATACTGGAGGAAAGATGGCCGCTTTAACAAATAGTGTTGGGAAAACTGGCTATGGACATGCAAAAGATTGAGTCTAGACCTGTTTCTCTCATGTACTAAACTAATAACAAAATGGATCAAACTAAATGTTTAAAATGTTAAAATGTTTCTAAATGTTAAAATAGAAACAATTTGTTAGTGGTTAAAATAGGTAAAACTCTTGAAGACATAGGCATAGGGAAGGACTTTCTGAACAGAATCCCAATGGCACAAGAAATAGCACGAAGAATCAACAAAGGATATCACATTGAATTAAAAAGCTTCTATGCCACAAAGGAAACAACAGAGTGAAGAGAAAACCTAGAGAATGTGAAAAAAAAATTTGTTAGTTCTTCCTCCAAGGCCTAATAGCTAGAAAGAACTCCAAAATTAGAACCCCAAAATAAAAGACCCAATCAAAAATAAGCAACTGAAATAAGCAAATGCTTCTCACAAGGAGAAGTACAAATGGCCAACAAATACATGAAAAAATTTCAACATCTCTGGACATAAGAGGTATGCAAATTAAAGCAATACTAAGATTTCATCTTACTTTAGAAAGAATGACTATTAGCAGGAAATCACATTATAGCAAGTGCTGGTGAAGATGCAAGAAAAGAATTGTTAGGGTTTGTGTCTAGATGTCCTCTCAAAGCCTTATACAGTCATAGGGGGCTTTTTCAAGTTGGCTAGATCTGGAGTGTGCATGTGCAACACTGGCATTGATTCATGGTGCAATGCTAGGATCAAGAGCACTAGAATTAACAGTATGAGTGCCACCAACACTACATTGCTTGGATAGAATATAATGGATGGAAAGAGCTGTGGTGGTCCCTTGCTTGTTTTGCTACCTCCTGCCCACCATAAACTCTTTCTTCTGTGAGACACCCCTCTGCCACACCACCCTGCCTTGGAATCAGCTGTGGACTGAAACTTCTACAAACTATGAGCCAAATAAACCTTTCCTCCCTTAACTTTGGCCATTGGATATTTTGCCTCAGCAATGAGAGAAAAGTAACTAAGACAGAATTTGGTACCAGGAATGGGGTCATTGTTGTACTATTACCTGATCATGTGGTTCAGGAGCCTTTGGAAATGGCTTGTGGACAGAGTTTGGAAAGGTTTGG